CAATCTCAACAATCTTCTGCCGAGAGAATGCGACTTCCTAGAGCCCTGTTCTATGATTTCAGGATACCTGCTGCTAGGGAATCAGGATCAGCATGCACTGGGCAGCATGCGGAATGCAGCCTCACTGCCCTGTTCACTGGGACACCAGCAGCTCAGGAGGGAGGGGCAGGGACGTGCTCTCTCCGCCCTTTTCATGCTGCACAGGATATTCAGCCCACAGAGTACAGAGGTTAGTTGAACGCTTACTTATTCATCTTACGAAACTGATCTCGAGTCAAACTTGAACGGGCTTCACGTATTTTGGACCTAAACTTGATTTATCTGCTTTTTGATGTCCTCAGTGATAAAGAAGTTAGATGTGACTCAAAGGAACTTTTGAATAGAATTGTTCTATCCAATCCCCGGCAATCCAGGATGTGACGTGCAAAGGGCTGTCCCGGTTGGACCCAGCAGCGGTCGCACACCGCACCTCCATCTCGTGGCCCCTTTCTCCCCCATGACAAACTGTGGGGGGCTGAGGGGACTCGACTTTGTCCCACCTACTCAGCCAGCCACATATCCTCAAGGGAGTCAATGGAGAGGCCCCTCCCCTGGAGGCCCCCCCCAGAGCGACCACTGCTGCAAACTTCCTGTCCCCCTTCTGTAGGTGACATTTGCTCCTCATTTGGGGCAATAAACATATGGCTCCCAGGAAGGCTCAGTTCCATCAGTAGGGTTCAGTGCTATGGGGTTTTATTGATTTAGACTTTTGGGAAACAAAACCAGTAAGACTGGCATGTGCTTGTTTTGTCTTTTTAAATGAGAGATACTTGTGCCTAGTTTTTATATCAATACGTAAGTATTCTCTGTCTCTGTGTCTGGGACAGTTCAAGGAACATCCTGACCTCAAGTGTTTGTCAACTGTTTGGTGAGACTTGTACCATCTGAGCCAAGGTGCCTTTGGAAGAACAGTTCCCCTCGCTGCTTAAGGTCTGACTCGAGTTAGTTTGGTGCAGAAAGAGTATTGAGAGCCATTCTCGGGCTCCGGATGGTTCGTAACTCATTTAATTCCCGTAAAGTAATTTTCACTTTTTATTTTGTACACTTATTGCACTCTCTTCCCTCATATCTAGCTGTATGTTGGCTAAGAAGTAACTACTTAATTGGTGTTAAAAGATTCATCTTGCATTACTTTTTGCTGCTGATTGAATTAAATTGCCTTTTTTAAATTTTTTAAATGTTTTTTATTTATTTTTGAGAGAGAGAGAGACAGTGTGAGCAGGGGAGGGTCAGAGAGAGGGAGACACAGAATCCGAAGACAGGCTCCAGGCTCTGAGCTAACTGTCAGCACAGAGCCCAACGCGGAGCTCAAACCCACAAACCATGGGATCATGCCCGGAGCCGAAGTCGGATGCGAGCGACTGGGCCACTCAGGCGCCCCAAATTGCATTTTCATATTTACAAATTCCTTCCTCCTGCTTCGTTTGGTTTCTGCAGGCATGTGCGTGTGTGTGCATGTACGTGTGCACGTATGTGAGTGCGTGTGCGTGTGTGCCTGTGTGCAGGCACATTTTCCTGATGATTTCATGGGAAGACATACTTGCATTTGCTGCCGCTCCAATGGCATCGACCCTATTTACCTGTAAGCACTGATTCAACAGTATAAGGTATGCTTTGTTTTTACCCTAAAATCTAGAAATAATAGTGACCTTATGGTATGAATGAGCAGAAAGGCAGGAAGCCGTCTTTCTTCTGAAACTTTTTATTGAACTTTCCATTATTTTTAAAAATAGTTTATTGTCAAGTTGGTTTCCATATAACACCCAGTGCTCATCCCCACAAGTGCCCGCCTCCATGCCCATCACTCCCCTTCCCCTCCCCCCACCCCCANCTACACTTATTGTGATATCATGTAATGTACAGAACTGTCTAATCATTGTGGTGTTTACCTGAAATTAATATAACATTGTATGTGAACAATACTTAAATTTAAGAAAAAAAAGAGATGAAGAATTAACTAACTTTTTTTTTAAATAGTTCATTGTCAAGTTGGTTTCCATATCACACCCAGTGCTCATCCCCACAAGTGCCCTCCGCCATGCCCATCCCCCCTTTCCACTCCCACCATACCCATCAGTCCTCTGTTCTCAGCATTCAAGAGTCTCTCATGGTTTGCCTCCCTCCCTCTCCCCCACCATTTCCGCCCTTCTTCTCCCCCATGGTCCTCCGTTAAGTTCCTCCTAATCCTCCTATACGTGCAAACGTGGTATTTGTCCTCTGCATCTGTCCTTTTATTAAAATAGTTTCTTTTTCTCCTAAGTTCCCCATAGAACTTATTTCCTGTTCTATAAAAATAATGCTTTTCCTACCATTTGCCTAATTTTCTACTGACATGCACATTTAAATAGGTTTGTTTTTTTTTTAGGGGTACCTGGTTGGCTCAGTCGGTTAAGCCTCTGACTTCCGCTCAGTTCATGATCTCCACGTTCATGAGTTCAAGCCTTGTGTCGGGCTGTGTGCTGACAGCCCGGAGCCTGGAGCCTGTTTCAGGTTGTGTCTCCCTCTCTCTCTGCCCCTCCCCCACTCACACTCTGTCTCTCTCCCACTTTTATGCGCACTCTTTCTCTCTCAAAAATAAATACAATATTAAAAAAATAAAAAATGAAAATATCTCATTTTGCTGAACGTCCTCAGACTTGCCATCTGTATCCTTCCCTCTTTTCTGTGAATTCATTGCTTTTTTCTTTTGTATCTGCTCCTTTTCCTTCCTCAACTCTGTCAATTTCTCCTTTGTTTCTTTAAATGCAGAAATTCACTTTTCTAGTTTGTCTTTAATGTCTATTTAGTTTTGAGAGAGAGAGAGAGAGAGAGGACACGAGCTTCCATTGTGGCTTGGAGCTCTTATTTCAGAGAGGTAGCTTTTCCGTGTATTCGGGCCTGTGTGGGGGTACAACCTGCCTACGACCTGCTGGGCCCGTGACAACCTCTTCCGGCCTGGTGTTCATCTCCTTCCCTTCCTGTCGCCTTTAAGGGCTGCTCCAGCAGCATGCCACACTGTCTGTCCCATGGTTGATTTGTGTTTATAGGAGCACCCCCTTCTGCATGAGGGGGTCCACCTCGCTGTGGCTGGGGGGCACGCTCTCACCACTGGGCTGTGGGACCGTGACGTGTCTAGGCTGCACGGCCTCTCTCTGCACCGCAAGGTGCCCCCAAGACACTCCTTATACCGGAGTGGCCCTGTACCTACCCGTGTGTGTGAACCCGGGCGGCTCTGGGCCCATGGGCCACCAACAGCCCCTCCACTGGCTGCCATGCCAGCAGACGGCTTCTGAAACAGGGGGCTCTCCTTCAGCCCATGAGGGTCGGGGTCCTGGGGGATCCCTTTAGCTCTTTTGTGTGTGTTATCTTTTCTTGTAGACCAGGGGCCTTTGGGTGACCCCCACGTGTCCTGCTGAGGTGGGAGAACCCTGTGTGCCCTTGGGAGTGGCCAGGTCCTCTCCCCCTTTGGTCTCATTGTCGCTGGGTTGGCCGCCACTCTGGGGGATTGCTGGTCACGTGCTGCATCGCAGATACGTCCCAGTGTCTGGGAGGAAGAGTTCCCATTCCTGTTTCGATCTCTGTGGATTCCGGCCGTAATTGGAGGTCAGGGAGTGCAGGGATATTTCTGCCCCCATGAAGCTGGAAGTCACACGCTACACTTTTCATTATTAAGTGGTTCTTCAGTTGTGGCCAGAGCATACCTCCTGCCAGCTCACCCACCCTTAGGGACTATTTACGAAAATGGAACTCGTGACTTGGAACAGCAACCGGTTCATAGCTCTCTCAGAACTGACAAGAACATTTTCCTACAAAGAAGAGCCCTAACTGTAATTCCTCATTTGCTCACCCCACTGGCTTGTCAGGCAGAAACAGCCAGCAAGGAACCACCTTCTGCCCTGGCCTCTGCCATGTCACTGGCGTGCTGCTCTGGGAGGGGATGTCGAAAGGTGTCAGACAAGCTGTTAATCTTCAACAGCAGTTCATCCAGCGCTTCTGCAACGTCATCCAGGTAGTGATGCTGAAGCAAAGGAACCACACTAGTGAATGCCTTTGAAACTGGACGTTTTCCTTTTTCCCTCATTTTCTGGAGCATTTGATGGCATTGACTTCAGACAGCACTGTGCTCTGTTAGAAAGCTCACTGGTGGAGCGCCCGGGTGGCCCAGTCGGTTAAGCATCTGACCCTTGATTTGGGCTCAGGTCATGATCTCACAGCTTATGAGTTTAAGCCTTGTGTTGGCCTCTGTGCTCACAGCATGGGGCCCTCTCGGGGTTCTCTGTCTCCCCCTTTCTCTCTCTCTCCAAATAAAAGAAATAAAACTTTTAAATAAAAAACAAAGAAAGATCACTGGATCCTGGAGTCAGAGACCTGGGTCCTGGGCCTGAACTCTCACACCTCAGTTCCCTGACTCACCAGGTGACGGACAGGCAAGTGTCAGGGTCAGAATGTCTATGTGAGGACCTGACATGGATTTAAAGGCAATAAGGTAAAACACACCATCACTATCATAGGTGACTGGATTCGGAGCCACACTGAGTGATGATTATGAGTCATGAAAGGAGCTGGGCATTGCCTGTGCAAGCACGGGCTTTGGCTTGCTTGCTTCCGTGTCGTGGAGCTAGGCTCAGACGCTGTGCCTAAGTCCCCACGTTGTGCTAGAAGTTTGGGTCTGGTGGCAGAAACCAGAACCAGATGACGGCTCTGTAGGGACCGGGTGGCGTGTGTGTGTTGGTGGAGGCGGGAATCATAAAGTCAATCTTTCTACCCCGACAGGGTCCCCCAGGGACGTAAGGAGTTCGTGGAAGAGAATGTGCTTGGTCACCCCTCAGGGCCTTTGGATCTCAACCGAAAATCTCCCATCTTTGCAAAGACGGGTGGCTCCGAATCGCCATCATGTGTTAATGACCGCAAGCTAGGGTCTGGAGGAAAGCGTCCTCTGAATGGCGTGGTGCTCCCTGACCCCAGCCCCACAGCTTACCTGTGCCTCGGCCGTCTCAGCCTCTTCCCGCTGTGGCTGCTCCAGTCCCAGCCAGGCCAGGCACCGTCCCCGCATGCAAGTGGCCACGTCTCCTAGTCTCAGCCAGGATTTGCGTGGGAAAGATTTTCTTTTTCGAGCAAGAGTCATGAGGGAACCTCCCAGCTGCCGAGGAGGACAAAACAGAAAGACACATTCCAGGTCATCAAACCCAGCGTGGCCTTGTCAACCCGATGGATGGGGCTGTCGGAGGAGCTGTGAGGGAGACAGTAACTGCTCAGGACAACATGGAAACCCCTCTCGTGCCGTAAGCCAACTCGCAGCACGATGGGTCCAGCCAGGAGAACGAACCTTCTTGTGAAGGATGCTCTCCGTATGTAACGGCCGAGGACAGATGCAGTTACTGTGACGTGTGTTTCCACACATGACACCGGTTTGGGTCCTCGGCGGCCCTGCCTGCCGTGTGTGGCCTCGCTGTGAGTCACGCCTACACCGGGGGACACAAGAGGCGCCCTCATGGTCTCCTCACTTCGGCCACGGCTTGGTTCTTTCTTTACTGCAGCCCGAGACTTCTTAGCTCAAAACGCCTGTTGGCACCGAGCTTGAAGTTTTGCACATTCGACTGTTTTAGAAACAGTCCAAACAAGCAGACATTTGTGGCACGACTTTGCATGCTACGCTGAGTCAGGCACCGGACCCCACGGCACTCTGCCACAGACCTCCCCTGCACAGCTGCTCACAGCCACGCACAAACGACCGCCCCCCCCCCTTGCCTCTCCGCATCCACTGCCCTTCCCCCTTCCTCGAGGCAGTCCCGACACACAGCCTCTGGACAGTCTTGTGCCGAGCGACCCGCCCAGACCTGGCCACGTACAGCTTGTGCGTGCTGCTGTTTCTCGTGGTCATCTGTCTTTCCTGGCTCGGTCCTAACTCCCTCGGACCCCTGGCAACGTGTCAGAAGCCCGCAGGGAGGCCCAGTGCCTGGGGACAGGACACTGTCCCTTCAGACGGCAGGTGTGGGTCTGAGACTTCCCAGATCTGCCGGCCACATGAGCCTGTGGTGACCAGTCTCTGCAGAGACCCCCGGCCAGCACTGCCTTCCTGTTCCTCATGATAGAGTCCAAGTGCCTCATCATCTCAGCATGACATTCAGGGCTCTCCTGGCTCCAAGCATCGTTCCTCAAATCACGGCTGCTGGACTCTGAACTCCAGCCTACAGACTCTGCTCCCAGGCATCTCCGTGAGCTGGTCTCTCTCATCGGCGGAAGCCCGCCTCCACTATCCCTTCTGCTGCGTGAGGACTTCCTGGTCTCCTTGGGAAAACAAAGCAGTCTCTATTTCCCTTGTTCTTTGAGGAAGCTTCTAGTTCGGCTTCAGAACTGCATATAGTTGTGCGAGATCCACATGCTGAAAACTACAGAACACTGAAGAAAGACATCCAAGAAGATCTAAATAAATGGAGAGACGTACAGGATTCTTGGCTTCAAAAACCTCCTACCCTGAAGATGTCCGTCCTCTCCAGCTCTGATTTATACACCCGCAGCAACCTCAGTCACAACCCCAGCGTGCCATTTCGTAGGCACCGACGAGCGGGTTCTACAATGTATGTGGAAAGGCAGAAGAGCCAGAGCGCGCTGAACTGAGCAAGGACTGGCCTGGAGGAGGGGTCTGTGCTGTTCTCAGACGCAGAATCGTGTCCAGTAATCATGACAGTGTGGTGTTGGCGAAAGAAGGGGTCAGCGGAACAGGACGGACGAACCAGAAACAGGATCACGGACACAGTGACGTGACTGGTGGCAAAGACACTGGCAGTTCAACATGCTTTTTAAGGGTGGAGCCGGGGCGGCTGGTGTCCCGAACATGAATGAACGGGAACTCTGACCCGTACCTCGAAACTTATACTAACATTAACTCAAAATGGACCTAAATCTAAAACATACCAACTGTGAATCTTCTAGAAGAAACATGGGAGAGACTATGTGTGCCAATGGGGTTGCCATTTGGTTTTAGATAGGACACTAGTAGAACGTATCAAAGAAGAAACTGATCGTCATTTATAAATATTAACTACTTTCTATAAAAAAATACTGTTAAAAGAATTAAAAGAAGCCAGAGAATGGGAAAAATAGTTACAAATCACATATCCAATAAAGGAAATGTACCAAAGGATAAAATTGCTGCAATTCCTTCTTCATACACTTGTGATCCTCTATGGACTGTGGACGACGTCCACTTCACTGTTGCCTAAATAGAATGGGAATTCTTTAAGTAATTGTGGAATGAGTGCATGAATGAACAAGTGGGTGGGTGGCTGGGCACATGGATATGTGGATGGATAGATGGATGGAGGGACGGGTGGGTGGATGGGTGGATAGATGGAGGGAGGGACGTGGGGAGGAAGGGAGAGAGGGCGGGATGAGTGGGTGGGTTGATGCATGGAGGGGTGGGGGTGGGGTGGGTGAATGGCGGATGGGCAGAGGGAAGACTGGATGGATGAGCAGGGAGCTGGGAGCTGGGAACATTGAGAGAACATGTCTGAGAATCGTCAAGGCGGGTGTGTGTGTGTGTGTGTGTGTGTGTGTGTGACACGTGAGTAGATCTGCAAGTGGCAGATCAGTAGGAAGATGGGAAACACGGATCCCCATTCCGAACTCACCCCGAGGCTAGAGAACCTGTCGAGCGAAGGCTGGCTAGCGGAGTGAAACCTTCGTGAGACAGGAAGTTTGGAATAACAAGGAGAGAGTTAGCGGCAACCATGAGAGGAGGAAAGAGACGGGGTGCGGCTCAGCACCTGGAGGGCTGGGGACTCCCTGGAGGAGGTGGCACCCTGGAACGCTTGGTCTTGCTGGACCTGTTCGGCTGCAGGAGCGTCGGGCCCCTCCCCCGTGCAGGGCAGATGGGCCCAGGGAGTCGGGGCCACGCGGAAACACGCACACAGACAAGGAGAGCTTGGCGCCCACAGCAGCCCCCGACTGCAAGGCCCGGGCCGCGCGCACGTACCGTTGCCAGCCACACGCTGCTCAGGACCATGAGCACAGCCGCGCAGCACCACGCCGGCGCCCGCAGGCCACCCTCGGGAAGACCGGCGAACGGGTCTCTTGGGCGTCCTCCCGGAAGACGGAACAGCAGGCCTCGGGAGACGGCCGCGAAGGCGCCAGGCGGTGCGGCGCGCAGGCGGGACGCGGCTGCCATCGCCAGGGCGAGGACGCCTGCCAGCTGGGGGACGAGACCCGCCCCGCTGAGCCGCCCGGCCTGTTCTGGGGCCCGAGACCCGTCGGGGGCTTTGGAGCGCCTCCAGGTAGCAGACGCCTGGAGACCCAGCTTTGGGGTGCCCGTCCCATCTACCCAGGGGCCGGGGCTGCCTGCTGCACCTTCTCCGGGGCCCTGCCCCGTCTTCACCCTTCCCCTCCCCTCCCCCATCTTGCCCGTCTCCCTCTCCTCTCCCGCCTCACCCCCACTCATCTCCCTTCCCTTCCCTCCCGGCCCGACTCCTCCCCTAGGGCCCACCGGCCCGCCCCCTCCTCCCTCTCCAGCGCCCAGCACCATCTCTCCACTCCTCCTCCCTGCACTCCGCCCTACCCCGATGGGCACTCACCCCCATCGCTCCCTCCCCCCCCCCCCCCCCCCCCCCCCCCCCCCCCCCCAGTGACAGACCTGTTGTGGAGCCAAGCTCTGCTCCCAGGGAACAGAATTCTGGGAGTTACCAGCCCGTGACATCGGGCCGGGGTGGGAGCCAGGCTTCCCGAGAAACCCCGCCTGCACGGGAGCACGTTCCTGATTCCTGCTCCTGAGTCCCACTGAGGCACGACTGCACGTGGGGGCGGGGGTAGCCAGCACGCAGCTGGGTTTCAGGTATTCCCAGGGGGCTCCGGGGGTGCAGGGCCCGAGCCGGGAGGACGTCCTCCCGTGAGGAAGTGCCCGGGCTGCCGGCAGCCGCCCGGGACAATTCAGGGAGGGGGTCACCAGTCGCCCAGCCCCCACTCCCAGCAGTCAGTGGACGCTCTGTGGGGACGACGGCCACGTGCACGAGCAGCGGTACAGGTGCGGCGGGAAGGCGTGCGATGCAGCCGGCGTGGACCCAGTGCGCGAGTCAGGGCTCCTGTGCTCGCGGCCACGACTCCCTCCGGAGCGACCGGCACCCGTGATGGAAAAGTGCACTGAGGTGTTGGAAGCCCGGGGCTCTCGGGGGTCCCAGCTTGAGAGCCCGTCTCCCGCCTCCCAGCCGGGGAAGGCGCTCACAGAGGAGGACGCTGGCCGCGCTCACTGGGGAGAGAACCTGACCCTGACTCGGGAGAAGCCTCACCCCTGCCGCGAAGACGCCGGGGAGCGAGCGGCACGTCAGGAAGGAGCAGGACGCGGCCGGTGTCAGGACGCCCACCAGGCAGACGCATCTCAGCGTCAGGACGAAGGAAAGGGTCCCCTGCAGCCACGTCACCCTCTGAGGTGGAAGGAAGGGGCACGTCACCCCGGCTACCGGCCGCGCCTGCCGCCGTGCGCGAGGGAGCTTCTGGCAGTCGCCGCAGGTGACGACGTCCTGCGGGCCACAGGAGCCCCAGGGCCCGCAAGGGCAGTGTGCACAGTGGACCGGGGCGAGGACCAGGCATCACGGCGTCCAGGACGACCAGCACGGCTAGTCCGGGCCTCACCTCCCCGAGCTGGGACACCGCAGCCCCGGAGGCGGCCCACGGCCTTCCCAAGGCCTGCGGCCCGGGGGCGGCTGTGCGCGGAGCGTTCCAGGCTGACCGGAGCCCCGGCGGGGAGCCCCCAGCAGGCCGGCCCGGCCCCCGGCGCCCCTCGCTGTGAGCCGCCCCCTCCCGGGGCCCGCGCATCCGTGAGGCTGTGACGAGGCGGCCACAGAGACAGCGGGCGGCCACCCGCTGGTGCTTCTCTGAACAGAGCAAGGAAAAGGCCAGCATCACGGCTACGGTTACAGGTGGCGGAGCCCGCGGCCAAGCCGGAATCCAGCCGGGAGGAAGAGGGCCGACGAGCGAGCACGGACTCCCGGCAAAAGGCCGACAGGAGCCCGCCGTCCATCGCAGAGAAGCGGCCCCCGCCCTCCCGGAGCCGCCAGGCGTGAGGACGGACACACTGTCCACCACGTCAGCACGAGGCAGCTGGTCAGCACCGTGAGGACGGGGAGGCCCCTAGGGGACACGTGGGGAGGGAGGGGCACTGCCGGCTCTGGGCCAGTGTCTGGGTGTGAAGCTCGTCCTCACGCATGGCGGGGCCCGGCTCCAGACTGGAGGCTGGCCAGCAGCCGGGGCCCAGAAGAGCCCATTCTTCTAGGGCCTTCTGGGAGGGCCCAGCCCGGGGGTGTGAGGTCACTCGGGGGCCTGGCTGCCACCCACTGGGTGGAAAAGGGAGCTCCCAGAAGGCCTGCAAGGTCGGGGGGGGGGGTGGCAGTGAGGCCACAGGACGAGGAGGCCGAACATCAGGGCTCCACCTGCCCACGCCCACGTCCACATCCACCACGACAGCTGTCCCCGCAACAGGCTGTGCTGGAGCCCCCCCTCCCCTCCAGGACTCCTGCACCCGGATGTGCACTTGCCCTCTCCTCTGATGACGCCCAGGCTGGTGGGGGTCAGTCCCCCTGGCGGCACCAGGGCCTTCCTGCACCGTGGGAGGGGCTGACGCCACCCACCTCCGGGGCCACTGTCAGAGAAGGGGAGAAAACAGACACAACACACGCACGCGCAACCCGCCCCATTGGGACTGCGGACCCTTCCCAGTCCCGTTCAGATTGAGAGCATTTTTGCTCAGTATGGAACAAATCCCTTGTCTGGAACCTTCTAGAACATGTATGTCCTCTTCCTTTGGACAACGTGCCATACCTGATTCCACGAAGCCACAAGACTGAGGTCCAGGAACCCCTGGAAAGCTTCCTTTTGGAAGCGGGCGGCCACCTCCTCGGCGAGAGTGACCAGGTGGCCGGAGGCGGCGTAGTAGGCGAGGCCGGTTGCAACCACGGCGAGCTGCAGGGTGGAAGGGGAAGGTGGTTCGGGGGGGCTCCCGGGATGGGGGGCACCGCACAGCTAGGGATGCAAAGTAAGTGCTGCAGCAGCAAAGGGACGTTGACCTCACGTATCTGTCAGCAACACGACGGGGACACGGCAGCGTGCCCGGAACTAGCAAGGGCTCAACCCGCTTCTGCTAAGACGGTCTTTGCCGTCAGGCGAGGACCTCGCCGGCCTCGCTCTCCTGCAGGACGAGGGCAGGAGACCTACCTCCAGCCAGCGCCCCGGGCTGCACCAGTAGCTGCGGACGCCCGTCGCTGCCGAGCCGGACACGAGCAGGCAGAGGCCGGTCAGGCTGAGCAGCAGGAAGGCCAGCTGCGGGAGGGGCACCGGTCAGAGACACCACCCGCCGTGTTCGCAGGCCTGCGCCCCCCGCTGGGCCCCGCGGGCACCGGGAGCTGTTGGCACCCTTCCCGCAGAACCGCCCATCCCGCGGCCCCCACGCGGGAGCTAGTTAGGGACGCAGGGGAGGCCACGGTGGCCCCGTGCACGCAGACCCTGTGGCGGGAGCAGCGCGCAGCAGGGTCCCCGGGGCCCGGCCTCATGCAGCCCCAGGAACGACCTTCCACATGTGCGTCAGACGCATGTTCCTGTCGGCTCCTTGGCCGAGCAGAGCTTTTGCTCAGAGCAAGGGACAGGATGCTCAGTAAGGGTCTCAAAGAAACGTGTCCCAGGGCAGGTCAGCCTCGCCGAGCCCCTGGGGACCCTTCCAGGTGACACCTCTAAGCCAAAAGAGCCCTTTCAGGGACGCTCCCCTGCCTCCGCAGAGCAGTGATGCCGGTGGTCACCGCAGAGCAGAGAGGGGGCCGGGACTGGGTGCCGACCATCCCCTGCCTGGCTCTGTGTCACAGTGGGCGGCACTGCGGGTCTGCGGGGATGTGGGGGCCTTGTCGGGGGACCCCACAGCAGGCGCGGGCGGACCCACCTCGGGGAGCGTGTGGCGGTACCACCGGGCCTCGTCGCCGTGGAAGACGGCCACGGACTCCACCTGCGGGGAGAGGGCCAGGCCCCCCGCAGGGAGCAGCTCGGCGCGCAGGGACACGCCAGACAGGAGTCGGGTCGGAGGGTTATAGAGCGCGAAGTGCACGGACACGGTTCTGGTTCTGCCGTCGATCCACCTGCTGGCCCTGAGGCTGCTCAGGGCCGCGTGGGCCGCCTGCCTGCAAAGCAGTGAAGGTCGGGACGAGCCGGGCCGCCACCCCAGGCCGCTCGCTCCGGGTCCCTGAGGCCCCCCGGGATCCTGGGGCTGGATGGACAGACTTCTGTGTGTCCCCGACTCCTCGCCCGGGACCCTGAGGCAGGGGCACAGCTCGGGGAGAGGCGGCCCCCTCTCGCGGCAAGGCCTCTAGAACCTTCATTCCTCTTTTCCTGCTGCGGGCGTACCCTGTGCTGGGAAGACGCCCCCTTTGGCCCATTTGTGTGTGTGGTGACAACGGTGTAATTTCCCTCCTGTGTTGCTGGTATCACTCAAAGGCAATGTGTCAATGTGGGCTGCCGGGGAGGCGGGGTCAGGCCACCGCTACGGACGACGGCTACACCTCGGGTGCCCACCTGCCCAACGCGGGACCGAGGTGGGGCCGCCCTCCTTCACGGAGCTGGGTGAGGCCCAGGACGGCCCCCGAGGCCCAGTGAGGCCCCATGAGGTCCCTTGACGCCGAGTGAGCAGTCTGCCCAGCACAAAGCCAGTGAGGACATATGTCCATTCGGTCCCCCGACCTCCAGCCTTCTGGCAAATTCTGGGGGAACGCGTGACCTGTTCCTCTTGTGCTCAGACACTACAGCCTGCAAGGCCTCATGGCCAGGGCCTGGCTCCCGTCATTTCCCAGTGAGAAGGCAGCTTCCCCTGCCCTGGGCAGGGTGGCCCCTGGCACCCGGCCGCCGCACAGAGCGCTGGGCAGGCAAGAAGCCTTCACGGCGCTGACCTCCGAGTCCCACTGACCTGGTGCGGCCCAGGCTGAGCTCCCGGCGCTCCCCTGCCCCACAGCCCCCGGGACCATGCAGGGCCACAGCCTGGATGCCTGGATCTGTCCCGGAGCGGTTGCTGGGGGCTCCCCCTTGGGGCCCACGTGCAGGAGAGTCTTCGGGGAGCACAGAGAGTGGGCTGGGAGGCTGTAGGAGAAACAGGTGGAGGAAGAATCAGATGCATGTTTCAGTCGGGCCCGCGGCCTGGGCTGTGTGAGCCTGGCCACATGGCGGCACGCCTGCTCTGACACACGGGCCCCACTCCCTCAAAGCCCCGTCACCCCTGGGCTCCAGTGGAGCCCGCCACGTGAAGGCCATACACCTGTCGCGGCTTGGACGTCAGGAGGGCTCCGTCCTCACAGGATTTGGGTGAGGGGCCCACCTTCAAGCACCCCCTACCACTAGGAAATGAGAGAATACCGTTTGTGGTATTTTGGAGATGTCCTGCTTTCGCCCAGCGTGCTGGGGCGGGCAGCTGGCGCGGGAAAGGTTTGGCAAGGGAAGCAAGGGCAGCCGCACCCACGGCTGTCCCCGACCCCGGCCGCTGGCCATCTCACACCACAGCCAGCCTCCCAGCGAGGGTTCTCACATCCCGCGGCCTTCCTGCCCCACCATCTCCCCCACTTCCGAACCCAGAGTATTTTACAGAGAATGAACTGGTGGGCACCGGAGGGGAGATGGGGGAAACAGGTGATGGGGGTTAAGGGTGCACTTAGGATAAGCACCGGGTGACGCACAGAATTGCTGTGTCCAGTGTACTGTACCCCTGAGACCAACGTGATGTGACATGTTAACTCTATGCCCGTAAGTCCATGAATCCATATACAAATCCCTACATGCACACACGCAGTTAAGTCATATGCGCACACACAGATAAGTCATACATGCACACACACACAGCTAAGTCACACATGCATACACGTGCACAGCTAAGTCATGCACACACACATGTATGCACAGAGAAGTCATACGTGCACATATGCACACATAGAAAAACATACATACATGAATCCATCAATCCTTCCATCCGTACACAAACAGGGAGCCTCAGGAGAAAACACACACACGCTCACGCACGCTCACGCCCATGCACACATGCTCATGCCGAGAGAGGACCACACGGAGAGCAGCTCACCTCGCACTCGCTGTCAGGTGAAGCTCTCCGCTGTTGGATGAGCAGAGTGCCCAGGAGGTGGCACGTCCCGCCGAGCGCTCCGGGCTGGAGGGAGAATAAACATGGAGATGCCTGCTGCTCTGGACACGGTTAATACCCCGTTGGGCAGCTGACTGGGATTCCGGTAAAACTTTAAACATAAAGAAATAAAATAAAACAACGACAACAACAACTACAGAGACGCCTGGACAGACGGTGAGCCTGGGACACACGGGATGCTGTGTTCTGGAATCGCCAGCGACTGGTTACCCTTCAGGACGGATCTGACCGACGTTCTCTGGAAGACTCGGCCTCCTCACGGCCTTCGCACCAAATCTGAATGGTCACTTTTTGTCTTTTTTACAATTTTTAAAAAATTAATTTATCTTGAGAGAGAGAGACTCCCAAGCAGGCTTTGCACCATCACTGCAGACCCCCATGCGGGGCTTGAACTCCCGAACCCCGATGACCTGAACCTGGATCACGAGTCAGAGGCTCAATGACTATGCCCCTCAGGCGCCCCTGCCTTTCGTCTTTTTCCAAAGTGTCCCCCATGTCACCCCCACGGCAGCACAGAATGCGACAAAAGTGGAATTGGGAATCCAGCCAACCCTGGGACAGCTGGGTCTGCGCTGCACGGACCCACAGACCCGCGCGTTTCCTCAGATGAATCCAAGCAGACCGTCCGAGTATTTCCTCTCCCTTAGTGCGTTCTCAACGAGCTTTTCTCTCTCCAGCTTACTTGTGAGGACGCAGCGTAGAGTCCACGTAACGTACGGAATTCTGCATTCACTGACTGTTTACGCCATTGGTAAGGCACAAGGTCAACGGTCAGCTGCTAGTTAAGCCGGAGGGCGTCAGAAGCTATATGCGGAATGTCAACTGCGTGGGGGTCAGCACCTCTAACCCTTGCTGTTCAAGCGTCACCTCTGTGCTGTTTGAGGAATGCAGGACAGAGTCATTTTATTTTCTTAAAGGAAAGTAGAACATAGGGGCACCTGGGGGCTCAGTCGGTTAAGAGTCGACTTCGGCTCAGGTCATGATCTCACGGTTCATGGGTTCGAGCCACGCGTCGGGCTCTGTGCTGACTGCCAGCTCAGAGCCTGGAGCCTGCTTCCGATTCTGTGTCTCCCTCTCTCTCTGCCCCTCCCCTGCTTGTGTTCTGTCTCTCTCAAAATAAACGTTAAAAAAATTTATAAAAGAAAGCTACAACATAAAAGATAAATAAGGAACAGAGTTATTGTATAAAATGCATATTCATTGGTAATTGTTCCTTCAGGATTTGGGGAAAGCCCTGCCTCTCTCTGGAAGCTTCCTGGATGTCCGCCCACCCCCTGCGGTGCCATGTGTCCCATGTCACAGCATTTAACACGCAGGCCTCGCCTTCTGACCTGCCGGCCACAGATCCTGTGGGGCTGCCGTGCCCTGTGTCAGGAGCAGCCCAGGCTGTGCGCTGGGGTGGAGCAGAGTTGTGGGGGACCGGGAAGCAAGGAGATGCACCCCCTGTCCAAGCCAGGAGCCGCTGGCCCGCAAGCTAGCGGCCACTCGTGAGCGTGCAGTGCTGCAGGCCAGGCATGGGACACACGTTCCCTCAACGACCCCGCGTGAAGGGCGGATGGACGGAAGCCCACCTGAGCGCCCGGCAGGCCGGCTGTGGGGGCGCCTCGCCCGTGCAGGCCGTCCAGCAGCGTGGTCAGACTCCAGCCCCACCAGGCCCCCACGCCCGTCAGGCCGCCGGGGGAGCTCCTGGCGTTCCTGCGCACGAGGGCAGAAGAGAAAAGCGGCTTTTCTGTCATGTACCTTCTCAGCGCCCGCAGAAGTGAAAGCGAAGCCGCCCGCAGCAGGCAGTGCAGGGTGGCTCTGGACGATGCCCGGCCCCCCGCAGCAGGGGAAGGGGCACAGGGGTGAAGCCACCCGCCCCTCCGCTCACTGTTCACGCCACGGACACCACCGTGTGCTGGGCGCTCTCCCGGGCACAGGGGGAGAGAGAGCACCCCAGCCCTCTTGTGGGGAAGCAAACAACAAATCAGATAAATAGGCAAAACGGAGGCTGTGTCTGGGGGTCCACACTCAGGAGAGAAAGCTAAGGAGCAGACCCAAGGCAACGAGAGGAGTGAGCTGCAGGGATGCGGGAGGGAGGGCCATCCAGGCGGGGACAGCAGGCCTGCACGGGGACGGGCCTGCGAGGTCGAGGAAGGGCGTGGGGGGTGGTGTGGCCAGTGCCGAGCGAGCACCGGGAGGGGGCAGACGAGTGGGGAGCTGGGACCCCAGCTAGAGATACAGCCCTTCCTCCCTCCACACCTCTGCCTGCTGGACGGCCTCGCCCCTTCTTCCCCGACAAAGCCCCAGATCGGCCGTGGAGCCTGCCCAGACGGCCTGAGCGGTCAGGACGCAGGCACAGACGGGGGCAGGACGACACACAGTAGGGCCTCATCGAATGTGGGTCTGGTTTCTTTCCCATTGATTTTTATGACTCTTGTCAGACTTCTGTTCCACTTTTCCAGCAAGGAACCGACGTGAGGCGCAGCAGGATCTGAGCTGAAGATGCGGATCATTTCCGCTCGCTTAGACAAAGCAGTGAGGCCACGCGCTCGGCCCGAGCTGTACGCAGCCCCACGAGGAGCAGACGTGGCTGTGAGCTACGGCCGCAGGGAGAAGGAAACATGACATTTCTCTAGAGGAGGACGAGATACTTCTCCCTGCCTCTAAACACGTCCTTACGTGTGGCTTCACAGGAAGGACCCGGAGCCAAGGCAGGGATGGTGGGCGGGTAGCACCCCCACAGCTAACACCCAGGGCAACGGCAACGGACTCATGTCTCACCATGTCCGGGTCTCCCTCCACGAGAAGGGGGGCCACTTCTCCGGGGAGGTCATGCGTGGGAAAGCCATGAGAAGTTAGGAAGCCACAGAGACTCCAGTCATGCAGGGACACAGTGCAGAGAGCAGGGCGTGAGCCAAACAGTCCGAGGATGTTCTCGCTCTGTATCAGGCAGAGCCGCCGAAGCAAACAGGCCCACAGAGCGGGCTAAACGTGGCCAAGATAAAGTCGGCAGCTACATCCCCCTGATGGCTCTTAGGGGGGCATGACTGGTTCACGTCCTGGTGCTTTATTGGGTGGTTTGCTTCTATCTAGCTTGGGACTTTCATGGAGACTTGATAGAGTCCAGAAAGACTTCACATACAACCTAAATATGGAGGAATCCAATTTCATGATCCTGGTTTTGCTACAGCAGAAGAAATCAGTCGTCCAGCTGCCTTGCCGTGCGGATGGGACATGCGGGCTCTGGGTCAAAGGACTTGCCTGAGTCACGTGCTAAGCAAACAAAGCTGGGTCCCTGAATTAGACTTAGTTGGCTCTTCCTGGATGCTGGCAAACGCTGAGACCTAAGGAGCTGTTGAGGTTTCAGGATTAGGTACTGGGGGCGGGTCTCCCTTGAGCATCCCAGTGCGAGCCAGGACACAGCAACACCCCTCCCCTGCCTGGTGGCCCACACGTCCATCAGTACTGAGGTTTGACATCACAGTGGGACACACAGGTCCACACAGACCACGGGGCCAGCATCTGAGCCACGAATCCAAGCATATCCATTGTTCTACGTGTGAGACATCATACAACTATTATCTCAGCTGCAATGTTTCTGACATGGGGACCAAGAAGTACTTCTTGTATGAGAAGTATGTCAAGTAATGCTGACTTATGAAATACGAGATCAAAAATAAATGGTCTAAGCCATTTATTAGATATTTCTAAGCCAGAAATATCTCAGGATTTCATCTTTTCCAGAAAGAACCATCAAATGGTCACTTTGCTTTGCACACAGCGCCTCCTGCTGGAATAAGAAGTGTGTGCGTGCAAGTGGGCAGAAAGTTGAGAAGATGGTCATTAATGGAAATAAGAGCAGTAGCTGCAGAGGGGGGCAGTTGCACTGTTAGAACAATCGCCAGTAAGCAGCTGCGCTCCTGTGTTCAGTACAGAGTCCAGACACATGAACTTGGACATCCTGCTCCCAATACGAGTGGGCCCTAAATGTGCATTTGTTAGCCATCATCTGGGTGGGAATCGATCACCACCTCTCTCACAGAAGATAAAAGCAAATACGCCCTTAAGTAATAGATAAGTTAAATGGATTTGCCAGCCACCCACCTCTGCCTCCCGGACACCAACAAAAATAAAGTCCATCAAGTTGAATTAGTCAAAGGCAACAGATTCATAGAAAAAAAAATCCAGGAATGTGTTTTAAAATATTCTCCAGAGGAAGAGAAAGTAGAGCCTGGAACGCAGTGCTTTCTTTCAGCCTCCTAGACCATAGTAAAGAATCAATAGGAGTTGCGTCACGCACTTCAGAAATCAAAGCCAAACTCCTTTGAGAAGAACTATCAGACTGAATATTTTTGGCAGGAGAGAATAAAGTTGCTTAATAACAACTGTCAAACAAACAAACAAAAAAAACCCAGGGACGGGCACACGAAGTGTCCATATTGACATGGTCATGTCCCAATTTCAGAAACACCGAAACATGGAGAAAATTACGGCACAACAAATTCCAGTGTGGTTGCCTCTGGGTGGTAGTGCTCTTTCCTACTGAACATTTGCTGCTTTCTAGTTTCCCATTCTTCCGTGTTCACCTACAGTGGACATGCATAGTAACCGTGGGAAGACACAAGTGAGCACCTGAGAAGTGCTAGATAACGTGAGGGTTTTACTGCTGCTTGAAATTGTGGCCATTGGTCGTGAATCACAGCAGCCTTTGGTCGAAAAACTCAGGTGGTCCTCACAAAAACAAGCAACCTCAACAACCTGTCTTAGCATCTTGGCACCAGACCTTATGGTGCCTCAAAATACCGTTTCACTATTAATCCAACTGAGATGCTAAAGATGTGCCCAAAGTTGGCCAAAAAGAGGCCTCCTGTCAACAGCGGGGAGAACAGCGTCCGAGTCAGCCTGACAACTTTCTCCAGATCTCACACAAGGGATAAGTGGTGAAAGACCCTCTCTGGGCCTCAGTTTTGCAAAAGTAGTGTCCCAAGAGAGAGGATTGGATGGTCTAGAGGATCCCTTGCTTCTCTGATGATCATCTGTAATAGCAGACAGACAGACAGACTTTTGTTCAAAATAACAGAGTTTGGGGCACCTGGGTGGTTCAGTCGGTTAAGCGTCAAACTTCGGCTCAGGTCATGATCTCACGGTTCATGGGTTTGAGCCCTGCGTCGGGCTCTGTGCTGACAGCTCGGAGCCTGGAGCCCACTTCAGATTCTGTGTCTCCCTCTCTCTCTCTCTGCCCTGCCCCCACTCATGCTCTGTATCTCTCTTTCTCTCTCTCTCATAAGTAAACATTTAAAAGAATGCATAAGAAAAAAACAACAACAGTAAAGTGACCCTCACCATGGGACCCTGGGCTCCGGTGCCTCCTTTGGAGATGGCGGCCACGACATCTCCGTGTACAGCGGCCCTGGGCCCAGAGAAGTCTGAGCAAACACCCTACCTTGTAAACTCGTTCCGGATAGCTTGATGGAGGGCACCTTCGTCCCGGGAGCCCTTCCCACACAGTAGACACCAGTGCGGGAGCAGCAGGAGGGTGTACACGCAGGCGTCTCTGTAAGAAACAGTTTAAAAGTGGCCTCCGCACAGACCCCGTGAGCACAGAGCCCACAACGTGCTTTTCGTGGAACGGAGCTTTTACACCCCTGGGTGAATTCTGTGTAAGCTGAAGTGTGTGTGGAGGTTCATTTTTTTTCACACATGGACATCCAATGTTCCCAGCACTGGGGCTGTTGTTTTTGTTTTAAAAGTAGGCTTCATGCCCAGCACGGAGCTTGAACTCACTGCTCTGCTATTCAAGACCTGAGCTGAGCTCAAAAATTGGCCCCTTGACCGACTGGGAGCGACCCAGGCTTTCCTCCTGGTACCATTTTCAAAAAGGCTACACTTTCTCCAAAGAAACAGACCTCCGTGCCCCGTCAAAAAATCAACTGAGTGTATTTGTGTCAGTCTGTCCATCTGTCCCTCATCTACGGGTCTGTCCTCTATCACCAGTTCCACGGGGTCTTGGTTACCAAGGCTTTATAGTATGTCCTAAAGTCAGTCCCCCGGCTTTGTTTAATCTTTTCCCGAGTTCTTCTGGTTACTCGAATGCTTCTGCTTTCCATAGAAGTTTTAGAATCAGCTCGTTAAGATGTATAACAAAGCTTGTGGGATGCTGGCTGGGAGTACACACAGGGTCTATGGACCCAGCTGGGAAGAACTCGCACCTACCCACGAGCATCTCAGCCGACAGACAAAGTAGGTCTCTCCACGTCTTTACATCCTCTGGGACTTCTTTCACTCGTGTTCTGTGGTTTTCAGCATACAAATCTGCACGTTTTCTTGGATTGATAGCTAAAAGCCTCATTTCTGCCGTGCTCCTGTAGATGCTATTCCTTTGTCCGTTTTCTATTTCAGCTGTTCCCTGCTGGCAAATGGGAACAGAACTGACTTCAGGTTGACGTTTCTCCTGCAACTTCTCTAAATTCATGTAGGAGTTCTAGGAGCCTCTTTCACAGAATATTCGAGGTTTTCTGCACAGACTAGTCATGTCTTCTGGCAAGAGGCTGTGTTATTTCTTCATTTCAAACCAATAACCATGTATGTCTTCTTCCCAATGCGTGGGCTATGCCTTCCAATAGGAGGTTTAATCAGGGAGAGAAGTGGGGACATCCTTGCCTTGTTTCTGATTCTTAAAAGCACACACTGGGGCACCTGGGTGACTCAGTCGGTTAAGCGTCTGACTCTCGACTTTGGTTCAAGATCCTGCAGTTCTTGCGTATGAGCCCCATTTTGGGCTCTGTGCTGACAGCGCGGAGCCTACTTAGGATTTTGTATCCTTCCCTCTCTGCCCCTCCGCTGCTTGCTCTCTCTCTCTAATAAAAATAAAAAAAATTAAAACATGTTTTTAAAAGAGCATGCACTGTTGCACCTCTAAGTGCGAGGTTAGGCACAGGGTTTTCACAGATCCCCTTTATCGTTTTACAGAATCTCAGTTACAGAGACTTCTTTCCCGCCACGAATAATGTCGAATTGTGTCAAACGGTTTCTTCTGCATCTATTGAGATGATCAGATAGTTTTTCTGACTTGGTCTGTTGATACAGTGGGTTCCATCATGGTCTCCTGCTTCTGTCTCTTTTACCCCCACAGGTGTCACCCCCGTCCCTATTTGGATGGAGGAGAATGGCTCTGTCGCCACTCCCCTCTCACTCTGTCCTACGTCCCGGGGACCACGTGTGTGCTCTCCGGTCAGCTGCAGACTAGCCCAAACCGTGACAGGACCAGGGCCAGGCTGGTTGGGGTAGGTGCCCCCAGGTGCGGTGTTTTCCACCAGGAGACATGTAACATCGGTTCTTCCTCTCCCTGTTTTCATGTTGGCCTTAGTTGATGACTGATGCTTAGACTTGTTAATTCGTTAAAGGCTGCCGGAATGGTCCATTCTATCATCTTGTCTTCATGCGGCAGCTGGAATACCTCTGTAGAGAGAAACAGGCCCTCCCCTGTGACGTGATTTCCCAGGGGCAGTTTGTCTGGGAAGACGGGACTGATCATTACCAGCTTCTTGAAGGCTGGTTCCCAGCTATCTGCTGACACCGTTCAGTGACATGTCTGGTGTCCCGGTGACCTCAAGGCTCTATAATGAGCTGATGAGCTTCAATCCATTGTTACCGTGATTCCTCATTTCGTGTCAAATTACCCATCTTTGGCCCACGTGAGCCCCTTCACACTGGCTTCTGTGTCCACTCATTACTTGTTTCCTTTCTCGCCAAATGTTCCAGGTTCATCTTACACATTATCAGTCACGGACCTGAAATCATGAAACCCAACGATACCGTTTTCTTTTTGATGGAATGACCTGAGCCCAAGTCGGACGGGTTAACCAACTGAGCCACCCAGGTGCCCCAACATACTTCCAGTCACTTTTGATTCAGATTCAGGGCTTTAGGGCTTTAACTTCTTTGGACTCAAGTCTGTACCTCCTTCCTCCCACACTGAGAATCCCACCTTCGAGGGTACAAGAATGGCAGAAATCGGAAGTCAAAGAGTCCCCCATGTGCGTCATCCCACATGAACCAACAATCAGAATGAACACAAAAACGCAGCACTAACGAGAAACACAGCTGTGGAAACGGATGGACGACCTTCTTTCCAGGTTCTCTCTGTCGTCAGGGACCAGGCTTGTAAGGTCAGATGTTTTCATCTTAAAGCACATTTCTGAAGGCCATATTCCTTCTCTGTCCCCTAAGTGACGACTTCCCGAAGCGGCAGGGGTTATCTACTCCTCGTTTTAGTGAGGACAAACAGATGCACAGAAATTTGATTCCTGGCCACCTTGGCCGAGTGCTGCTTCTCCTGTAACAGAGAGGCGTCTCCCGTCTGTGCGGAAGGTCCCCGTGCTCCAGGCGACCTAGCCTCCCCCAAGACAGCGGGGCTATTTTCAGGCTATTACAAAGTTCCCGCACGGCCCCGCTGGTGCCCGGGTCGTGTCCTGGAGGCGCTCCTGGAGCAGGGCTGCTGCGCAGAGGCAAACGCATCCGTGACGGCGCGGTCTTCCCAGGTCCCCCGGGGGCCCCATTATGCAATCACGTCTGTGCTCTGTCATGGCGTCTCCTCTCCGTCGGCTCACCCACCAACCGCTGCAGATTTCTGTGCTTTGATCTGTGGTTCTCTCATTAGGAGCGGAAGCGCTCTCCTCGCCTGCCTTCCTGAGCCCAGTCTTGTTCTAAAGAGTTGGTCTTTTCTCCATTTTTTGGAGCCTCTTCATACGTTACAGTTGAGCCTTTGTCTGCTACAAATATTCTTCCCAGTTGGTCCCTGTCTTTTTACTCCACGAATGACATCTTATGCCACACAAGGTGTCTCTTTTTCGAGTCTGGTGTCCCCAGGTTTGTCTTCTCTTCTGTTTCTGCATTTCAAGTCGCAGGGAGCTTTTCCTCACCCACAGGTCATGGAGAAACTGACACACGCTTTCTCCTGGGATTGGATGCTTTGGTTTTCACATTTACATCTTTATCCACTTGGAATTTGCATGTGTTATGACAAAAACATCCAGGTTTGTTTGTTTTGGTTTTTTTTACACTTCCCTCACGACCCTTCAGTTCCTGCTTGTTAAATCTCCCTCATTTCCCCAAAAACCGGAGACGGCGCCTTCGTCACACGCTTGCCTCGCTGTGTGGCACTGTGTTTGGGCCAATCTCTGGGTTTCCTGGTCCCTCCCATGGGGCCGTCCCTTCCTCGTGTGCCCAGAGCCAGCCTCTTTGGGGGCTACAGCCCTACTGTCGCGTCCAGCAGAGTGAGCCCCAGCCGCCCGCCCTGCCTTCTGGGGTGTTCGTGGCTGGCTCTCCATGTTCCTTCTTCCAAAGTGACTTGATCGCGGGCCAGAACCAGTGGGGGAGAGTTGGGGGAGGAGGAAAAGAAGGAAGGTCTGCTGGCCCTTGACCGGGACCGTGTCACAGTCTACGCTGGTTTTGGATGGAACTCTGGAAGACGGGACCCTGTCCTGCTCGGGAACAGGGCACGTGTTTCTGAGTCCTCCTTGGGGCCGCTGCACTTCTTCTGCCTGACGCCTGCGTGGGCCTCTTGTAGTTTACTTCCCTGCCAGTCTTCTCTCAGGTGTGTGAAGGGCCCTGGGGTCTGCATGTTGGTTTCCCAGCCTGTCCCCTAAGTTCCCTCCTGCCTGTTTCCTTGCTCCTTTGTGTGGGGTCTTCCAGACTCTCAGTCATGGCACATGTGAACGGAGGGGGCTCAGCCTCGCTGCGGACCTGCTCTCTCTGGACCCACCATCCCTTTGTGTCCCTCCCTTGTGGCTGGGTCCCACCTGCACGCCCTCCCCGCCCAGGGCCGCCAGCGCCCCCTACGTGGGGGCAGGAGCAGAGCCACCCCAACCTGCCGCCACCCACCTCAAGGCCACCCACGTCCGGCTCTCCCTTCTCATCCTCTTCCTGGTGACGCGGAGCTGGGCTGCGGAGGGTGGACGTGCCCGGCGCAGGCGGCGTGCTCGCTGTCGGGCAGCCACCATCTGTGGGGACAGCAGTGCAGTGAGTCGGGGACCGCGGGTGAGGTCAGGGGATCCCACAGTCTGGAGCGTTTGTGCCACCCGGGCTGGGGGCAGAGACGCTGTGCACGGGTCACACACAGCAAGCGGGCGGGCAGCGGGCCAGGGAGGGGGCAGGTCCCTGCCAGCTCTGGGGACAGCATCCCTGTGCAGGGGGGCTGTCTACACCGTCTGATTACAGGTGTGGGTCAGGCACTCAGGACACCTAGGAAATCAGAGACCCCCTGTCCTGGGAAGTGGGAGGCTCACCTATGCGGCGCCCCGGGGTGGAAGTCACCTATGTGGGTCCCCGAGGCGGGGAGGTCACGTATGCGGGGCCCCGGGGCGGGGGAGGGGGGTCACATATGTGCGGCCCCGGGGCAGGGGAGTCACGTATGCGGGGCCCCGGGGCGGGGTGGGGTCGCGTATTAGGGGCTCCGGGGCGGGGATGCTCCTCCCTCACTGCCGACGCTCCACCCTGAGTCCCAAGGAGGACAGGACACACCGATGGACACCTCGGGTGGGGTCACTCAGCTGCCAGCCCGGCATCACGGCCGCACCTGTGACCGGACTCGAACCCGAGGCCAAAGACACAGGAGGGCAGCAGGCCTGGTGCACAGGGGCCGCGGCTGCCCACGGGACAGGAGGAGAATGAAAAGGGACCCAGGAGGTGAGAGGAACCAGAACCGCGTGCTGAGGGCCGCCAGGTGCTGCAGCAGGTGTGCAGCCGAGCCTCGGGGCCCAGAGCCTGGTTACCACCCAGGTGGCCTCAGTCTAATGACGTCACTGCCCCCAGTGTCCGTGTGACTGATCTCACAGCAGGTGCAGTGACGCACCCGCTGCACGAGGTGGCGGGAGAAACACACCGAGTGTAAACGAGGTACGAGTGGTCAGGGCAGGGCACACATGCAGCACGTGCCCTGTCACCAGGGGGCCCACACGTCACTCAGACAGTGATGCCAATGGCCAGTTAGACTCAGGAGCTCACTGGTCACCTGGGGAAGGACGGCAGTTGGGAGGGAAAGGTAGGGGTGAGGTCTGACTATCAGCGAGCTGGGCTGGGGTGTGTCCCCAGTCATTCCGCAGGAGGACACGTCGCGTGCCGGGGACCGGCCCGTGCACTTCCCCATGGGAGACCTTCCTCTGCCTACCTGTTGTCCCCCCGCCCGAGAAGGCTGTGCACCGGACGGGAGATACTGACGGAAGGAGGGGGTGGGGGGGCGAGGAGGGAGGAAGCAGGAAGACGTAACTTTGTTGTGGGTCCACAGAGACACAGACAACTTGGAAGTTCTCCAAAGTCATGGCCACGAATTCTATTTCTCATCTGCCTCCATAGTTTAAACTAGGCTCAGGTCATGATCTCGGGGTTTGTGGGTTCAAGCCCTGCGTCGGGCTCTGCAATGAGAGCTCAGAGCCTGGCTGGGATTCTCTCTCTGTCTCCCTCTCTCCTCTTCAAAAAATAATAATTTAAAAAATAAAAAAACATACAATAGGCTCCTGTTCTCAATGCTGATTTCTGTGGGACTAGGGCAGATGCAAGGAGATGGGCCCCAGGGGCTCACACACCGCGTCCGGACAGGCAAAGAAGCACGAGCGCCTAAGCCACACCCCTGGGTCTCCCAAAACGCAGCCGAGTTTGAATCAAAGAGGGAGTTCAGACTGGCCCACGAGGCCAGACGACGGCCCCAAGGGCGGCCTCACCTCCTCCGTCTGACCTGCACGTCGGGGTCTGGGGGACCTTGCACGCTCTTCCACCTCGGAGCCCAGGTCCCTGGTGGCCGCACGCAGAGACTCGGAGAAGAAATACGGGTCATCTCTCCTTCTCCAGGCAAAGCCCAAGGCCACGAGGCCGACCTAGAAGGAGAAATCAGACAAGGCACGGTCCCCGTCACCATCCCTGTGACCCACAGAGCTGTCCCTGCTTCCTGGGTGCAGACGCAGGTGCAGGCTAGTGTCACCTGCCTGGGACCCCCGCCCACCCCGTCCCCACGCAAGATGGGGCTAGAGCCTCTGCACCCCAAGGCTCCGTGTCCTCGAGTGACAAAGGGGGTTGGAGAGGTCCCCCAGCCCTAGGATGTGCCCGAGGACTGACAAACAGGTTCCCCCCTGACACTCAACCAAGACACGGAGAGGTGTCCTCACAAGTAACCGGAACAGAGCCCCGGCCCCACGCCCAGGCCCCTGCTGACGGGAGGGCCCCGCTCACCAGAAGTGGCTGGGTGACGAACACACAGCACAGCACAGCCAGGGTCAGCACCTGCAGCCACTGCGCGCACTGTGTCGGGGTGAACCTGTCCCCGGGGAGACAGCAGCTGTCAGCGCCAGCCTATCTGTGCCCAGGACACCAGACCCGAAGGTCCGCGTCCTCATGGCAGTGGGCGGGGAAGGGGCCGCGGCGGTGGACGCCCTGTCCTTCTGCCCAATGGAGGGAGCTCTGTCTGTCCGGAGCAGACGTCAACCCCAAGAGAGAGAGAAAGGAAAACCCAGCACAGAGACGCAGAGAGCAGGGGCTGGATAGGGTGGTAATAATGACAATGAACTTTGCATCTGCAAAGCCCTGAGCCTGGAGGACTTCACTTGTTCCTCCTAAAACCCTATGAACTGGGTACTGGGAACATTCCCGTTTCACAGATGAGCAAACTAAGGCATACAGAGGTTTTCTTTTAAGTAACTTGCCCATCATCACCATGTGACTCCACACACGCATTTGAAGAAAGGGAAGCGTCAAGGGCAGAGGGGAAAGCGTCTTGGTGTTACTGCCGCTCTTCCTGGGCCACGGGAGCCACGCCGAACTGTGGGCTGAGGTGCCCGGGAACCAGATGGAGAGGCCACCGTGCAGGCAGAGTCAGAGTCCCTGAAATGTGTGCATCCTCACCGACCTGGGGGGAAGCTCCCCCGCTGAGCCAGCACGCCTGGCTCAGAGCCCAGCTTCTCGGGAGCTTGGCAGCCGGACCCCCTTCCCGTGGCTTCTAGTGGCGGCTGGGGCTCTGTCGGGGCCGGGCCACTGTCCCAGGGCAGGCTGGCCAGGCCCTGGCGCCCTTTGGGATTTGTGTGCGGATTCTTCACCCCCAGGGCCACGGGAGGGAGACGCAAGGATGAAAATAGCAGCAGCCACATCTGGGCTCATGCTCTGCGTTCCCAGAGACGCAAAGAATCTCATTATCAGCAAGAGACTCTCCCAGCCAAGGACCCGAGGGTCTGTGAAAACCGTGACTGCTCACCTGTAGCCCAGAAACGCTGTCCCGAAGCCACAGGCCGCGGACATCAGCCAGCAAATGGCCCACGCTGCGGAGCCGGACCAAGGCGGTGGTGCCCTCGGCCGCTGGAGCGCTGCGGGTCGTCCAGGCCCGCTGGTGGGAACTAAGGGGGGGAGGGAAGACGCACACGTGTTAACAGACCTCCCCCCTCCCCCCCATCCGGCACGACTGCCAATTCTCCCTCGGCTGGACTGGGCCACGGGTGTGCAGACATCTGGTTGAATGTTATTCCTGGTGAGTCCACAAGGGAATTTCTAGAGAGATGAACGTTTAAATGGCTGCACTGAGGAGCACCTGGGAGATCAGTTGGTTGGGCATCTGACTTCAGCTCAGGTCATGATCTCACAGTTTGTGGGTTTGACCCCTGCACCGGGCTCTGTGCTGACAGCTCGGAGCCTGGAGCCTGCTTCGGATTCTGTGTCTCCCTCTCTCTGCCCCTCCCCTGATCATGCTCTGTCTTTCAAAAATAAACATTAAAAATTTAAAAATAAATAAAGTAAATGGCTCCATTGAGTAAAGCTGGGTGCCTGCCCAGGGTGGGTGGGCCTCATCCAATCAGGTGAAGGCCTGTATACAACAAAAGGCCCACCTTCCGGAGCAGAGAGAATTCCTCCTGCCTGAGGCCTCTGAGCAGAACACCTGCTTCTTCCTGTCTCTGGACTGGAGCTGAAGCGTTGATGCTCCCGGGTCTCCAGCTCGTGGGCTATGGGTCCATGAGACCTTCCAGCCTCCGTGAGCTCATCCCTGACCATGAGCCCTTTTATACACACACACCTCTGCACTACGCACCGTGGTGCAGGATTCGCATTTCCATGTGGAGCAGCCAGGCCCACACGGTGGCCGGTTGCAGGCAGTGACCACCTTCTCCAGTCTGGGTGAAGAGGGGACTCGTTTTCTCACGTGGTTGTTCTCAGGGCAGAGCGCTTTGCACACTCAGGATTCTCCAGCAGAACTGTGCCACAGTCTGGGCTACAGGCCGCTGCTGTTTCTGCCTCACAATTTATATTTTTCATTATGTGTATTGAGGAGGAGGAGGGGGAGGAGGGGGAAGGGCCGCATGGGAGCAGCCTCTCTCGAGAGGCTCCCGTGTCATCTGTCTGGAGCCGAGCACATGACCCGAGGGCCCCTCACCCCCACCGCAGGTCCCCAGGCGCAGGCCGCAGGACCCCGGCCTCGGCCTTCTCGGGTGCGGGCTGGAGAGGGTGATCCCAGGCACATTCAGGGCGGAAGGCAGTGTGGCTCTGGGGCCCCGGCCGGCTCAGCGCTCCACTCTCGTCGGGTCTGAGCATGTGGCAGAAATCGCTGGAAGCCTCACAGTTCTCCACACTCAAAAAAAAAAGTAGATCTATTCCTGACTTTTTGAAAGTCGCGAGCAAACCTCCGTAAGGAAACCCTAGAAACGGCCAGGACGCTGGGACAAAGCCGGGGGCTGCAGGACGGGGCCGGTTCACGTGGGACCAGAGCGTCCAGGGTCGTCGGGCCCGAGTCCCCGGGGGCCCGCTCCCCCCCCGCGGCCCGCTGGCGGGGTCAGCTCGCTGGCCTCCAGCTCCGGGCCCGACCGCCCGCGTCGTCCCCGCAGCCCTCCCGCGGCCCCCGCGCCGACACGCGCTAGGCTGGAAGAGACAGAGTCAGGACGCATTCAGGGCTCTCGGGCCACACTGCAGCCCGCCCGGGAGCCCTCTGCGGACGTGGTCCCGACGTCCTCAAGCCTCAGGCCCGGGAGGGGGTCTGGGGAGGAGGCGCCCAGCCCCGGGACCAGCGCCTTCCCATCTACAGACGGCTGGGGGGTGCCGCCTGCCCTCCAGGGGCGACCTGGGCCTGAGGGCGCGGGGGCTCTGGGGGCTCCCAGCGGGAGTGCAGAGGCCGCGTGGGGGTGGGGATCCGGCAGCCCCGACTCACCCTGGGGACAGAGCTCTCGGCTAGGGGGCGCAGATCGAAATGTAAGGGGCCTCAGCGCCCCAAACACCAGCCCAGACCAGGGTCACGCGCCAGCGGTACGGTCACACTGGTCCCCGCAGGGCCAGCGCCGTGACGTGGCCGAGCTACCTCGAGTGCCTTCCGGCCTGCCCTGGGTCCCAGGCCGCGTCGGCTCGTCCCGTGACCCCTCGCGGGGCCCAGGAGCCAACGAGGGCGTCTGCTTCCCGCCGACTCGGGCCCTGGACGCGCCCCCAGGGCCAGCTTCCACGTCACTGCGGGGACCCGCGCGGCTTCCCCGAGTGTGACAGCCACAGCCCTTCTCGCGCGGCCCCCACGGGGACTCCCGAGCGCCGGCCTCCGTCCCCACGGGCCCGCTCACCGCCCGGCCATCCCCGGCCGCCCCGGGCCACGGCCGAGCGAGGCGGCGGAGCCAGCGCAGTGGCCGTCCCGGTCGCCTCGTGCCGCCTCGGGGCCTCTGGGGTCCTGCCGCGGGGGTGGGGCCTGGCTTACAGAGTCACACCGGGGACTCGGGGTCCCTCCCTGCACCCACCGGCGCGCCCCGGCACGCGGCGTCCCGGCGGCCGCACAGCCCCTTGGGAGGGCTCCTAGCGCACGCGCGATGACGCCCACCGTCCCCACGGAAGGCGGCGCGCGCGGGAGCGGGAGACGCGAGGCCGGCAGCACGCTGTGCTCCCGAAGCGGCTCGGCCTCTGGGGACCCCCGCACCTCCCGTTCAGGCCTCACCCCGGCCTTGCCGCGCTTTCACCTTTCAGGCCTTTTTCACCGCTCACCTACCCTGCTCGGCCCCCGAGGGCGCCCTCCTCCGGGGCTGGAGGGGCTTCAGTGGGGAAGAAGGCCCGCGGGGCTCCTGCAGGGGGCAGGTGGCTGTTCAGGGCGGGGCCGCGGCGGGGGCGGGGCCGCGGCGGGGGCGGGGCTCTGGGTACCTGGGCGAGCCTCAGGAGCAGCGCCAAGAGCTGAGCCGAGGGAGACGCCAGCAGGGTGCACAGGAGCCCCGTCCGGAAGGACCCAGCAGCCGCGTCGGGGGCGCCGAGAGCCCACGGGAGCTGCGGTAGACAGCGGCAGACACGTCCCCCACCCCGATTCCGGGCCCGGCTGCAAAGGTGCTTGGTTAAGTGTGTGCCCCACACTTAACCACAGACCCGCTCCCTGAATCCCGGACCTTTACAAAAACAGAAAAATCACAAGGAATCCTTTTGCTTTCCCGATACACGCATCTCTGCAGACTGAACACACGTTTGCTGGGAGCCTGCTTCACGCCGGGCACGCCTCGCTACAATCTCAGCGGAAGGCATCCGCGTCCGCAGCGCGACGATGAGCAGAGAAGGCATCAGACACCGAGTCGACCCCAGGGGAGGGCAAGTTTGGCTTTGCTGACCGTGGGCCCGTCCCCGTCCCAGGGGGACACGGCTGCTCCCTTCATGCTACCTGATGACATTTACCACCGTCTTACAAATTCCGCACACCTCTTACTCTTTTTATAAAAGCTCTGCTGATCCATTGCTGTTATCACAGGTACAGTGAGCTCTGTGCTCCCTGGTGGACCCATGGCTGGACGGGACCCTCAGCATGTTCCCAGACACCGCGGGGACCATGGACAGCCTGAGGTTGTCAGAAGCAAAGCTGACTCTTGTCCCATACCCCAGGGGCGTCCGCTGGGCTCCCCACCCCAAGGCCATCCTGTGGGTTGTCCACCCCAAGGCCATCCTGTGGGTTCCCCACCCCAAGGCCATCCTGTGGGTTCCCCACCCCAAGGCCATCCTGTGGGTTCCCCACCCCAAGGCCATCCTGTGGGTTGTCCACCCCAAGGCCGTCCTCTGGGTTCCCCACCCCAAGGCCATCCTGTGGGTTCCCCACCCCAAGGCCGTCCTGTGGGTTCCCCAACCCAAGGTCGTCCTCTGGGTTGTCCACCCCAAGGTCGTCCTCTGGGTTCTCCACCCCAACGCCATTCTGTGGTTCCCCACAGGAGAGCTGGGTCTCCGATCTAACTGCCCGTGCTCGTTCATAAGCAATCTCTGTCACATGAGGCACAGTCGGGCCGCAGCTGCACACTGGCTTTCCAAGGACAACCCTGGCCGTGAGAATGGTTTTGTTGTTCTGGCCTGAGGATTTTTAAAATTTGAATTAACTGCCACCCATAAAGAATCCAGGAGCATTTCCTGTGACAACCCGGGCCGCCCCGCTGGGGAGGTCCTGCTCTGTGGCAGCAGGAGGCCACCGCCCCACTGACACCCCCCCCCCCCCAGCTCCAGCCGGGCCGGCGTCACCTCGGGGACACTGAAGGCGCATGGGCTCCGTCCCCTGCTTGAAACCTCCCCTAGGACTCTGAGTTTAGCTGATTGTGGCGCTGAGAAGGCGTCACACTGCGGGTCTGGGAATCGGAAGCCACTCTAAGCACAATCCAGTGTGTCCCACCTGCTCCTGCCCGGAGGCAGCGGCCAGGGCGGCGAGACACGCGTAGGCGCACAGCAGGGCAAAGGTGACCGTGAGGCGTGGGGTGAGCAGGAGGCGGCTGGGCGAGGGCCGGCTGCACACGGACGCCCAGACGTGGAAGTCCTCCAGGTACTCGGTGAACTTGGAGTACAGGAGCTGGAGCAGGGAGCAGGGCAGAGTCAGCGGCAGACCTGGGCGTCTGCACCAGCCGCGGGGGCTCCCGGTTGGCGAGCAGTAACTTCCTGAGCGGGGATGCCCCTCGCCCGCCAGCTGGACGCCGAGCTGTGTGGGCGCTCCAGGCCCCACAGACCCTAATCTGCTTGGCGCCGCGGATGTGCACAACCCCACCTGCGCTGGGACGGGAGGGCTTGGGGACAGGCTGTCCCTCCACTTCTCCTGTGTCGTCCTCAAGTGTCTTCACACTCTTCTCCCCACAGCCTTTCTTCACAAACCCCTCCCCCGGTGGCACTGTCACCCCTCCCCTGGTGACCCTAACAGCCTTTCCCAGCACGCTCCCTGGCGGCACAGTTGATTTTTTCTGGGCTTTGAGCACACGGAGGGCTGGGGGCGAGCATCCCCCCGGTGTCCTCAGGAGCCCAGTGATGTCCGCTACGTGGGGGGCAGAGCGCGTGCACCGGGTTCCCAAGGGTCAGTTCGACTCAAGGAACACTTAGTACTGAATGCCATTTCAGAAAAATCCATGAACTTGCTTTAAAATCATCACTGAAGGGGGTGCCTGGGGGGCTCAGGTGGTTGAGCTCCCGACTCCTGGTTTCCGCTCAGGTCATGGTCTCATGATTCCTGGGCTCGAGCCCGGTGTCCAGCTCTGTGCTGACAGTGTGCAGCCTGCTCGGGATTCTTTCTGTCTCTCTCTCCCTCTGTCTGCCCCTCCCCTGCTCATTCTGTCTCTTTCTCTCCCCCAACCTAAAAAAAGAATCCTGAAGATAAACTAGAAAGTGCTAATCGCATCAGCATTACTACAACTGCATAGAACATGCTTAAAGCCAGGGAAAGATGGGGACACGCACAGAGCGAGTTTCGTAGCTGGTCTGTGAGGTTTTAGGGGACTCTGTCCTTTGTCATGAGCCCTGCTCGCACCTGGACTGTTTCCTGGTCATCTTGGTGACCAGGAAATGCAGGGCACTCACGTCTCTAGTTAGCAGCCCAGACAACAGGCCGCCGTGACTTCTGTAATGTCGCTGCGGAGAAGCAGGGCCCGCACCACATCCCGCCGGCCGACCAGCAGGCACCTACCTTCCAGAAGCCGGGGCCACGGCGAAGGCAGGCCAGCTCCCGCTGCACGTGGCCGTCGGCCCGGTCCGCTGCCAGCCAGCACTCGGCGGGGAAGAGCCAGCACGGCGCGGGCCGGGCGCCCAGCTCCTGCACCATGACGTGGCTCACGTACCAGGCGGGGCAGGGCCCGCGGCCGTCGTGCCACAGGCGGATCCTGCAGAGCGGGCCCAGCCGGGCCGGGGTGCTGGGAACACACACAGCAGGCCTGGTCAGGCCTGGGCGGCCCCGGCCCCAACACCCACCCCGGGGGCACGTTGGAAGTGTCACACAGACCGCCCTCCAGAGCCCGCTGGGACGTGGGGGGTGGCCAGGGCCGTCCAGCCGCCACGGCCACTGCGAGCGGATGCCCCCAGCCGTGCTGGGCGCTGGGCACACACGCAGCCTGTCCACGTGGGCCCCTGAACCCCCTCCGCTCAGACTCCTCAATGCACGCATGTCTGGTGTGGACTCGTCTGGAGTTAACCTCCTCTTGGTGAACACAGGGCACTCGGAACCAATTCCGATCGTACGTGAAATTGTCCAGGAGAAGCAACTGTGTGGTTCTTCCACACGTTCTGGAAACATCAGGAGCCTGTACTCCTGATAAACGACCCCTCTCCATCCAACCTCAGGGCCTTTGCACGGCCTCACTCTGCCCGATCAGGGTGAACTGAGTTCACCGAGCGCGGTTGGTGCCATAGGAAGCGCTGGGCGTTTGACCCTCACAGCGGGTAAGCCCAGTGCTCCTCCTGCCCCCTCCTGACTTGCCCGGACTCCAGCCTACTTCACACGGCACGGGGAGCGGCGTTATAAACCCGTCTGTGCACACGCTCCTTACGGACAAGCGACGGTTGGTATTTCTGCTGCCGCGGAGCCATGCTAAGGCCACGCCGGGCTGCACTCACCTCAGGACGAAGGTGTGTCTGGAGTTCCTTTCAAACAGGGGCTTCTCCGGACAGTAGAGCTCCCTGGGTTCAGAAACTCCGTTTTCTCCGCACAAAACAATGTAAACCTGCGAAGACACAAGGTAGGAGTTTGAGAACACGACACAGCACACACCGTGTGTGCGGTCGGGGGAGGGCTAGTTTGAGACCAACACACAGGACACGCCCCAGGGCATGGCCAGGGGAGGGCCTGCACCTTCTCCCAGCCCCCAACCTTCCCAGAACCTTCCAGAAGGCCAGGGGCAACAGTGCCAAGGAGCACCTGCCAGGGTGGCGGGATTTCGACACGTCTGATCTGGAAAACCAGACGGCAACTCGGGGTCACCAGGGCACGTGTCTGTCTCAGGAGGGAGGGGCAGGACAGCGGCCACAAGGTCCTCCCGCAGCTCAGACGGGAGATGGGGGGCCTGGGGGGCAGGGACAGCGACGGGGTGGACCAGGGGCCCCGCGGACGCACACCGGCCGGCGGGCTTGCCGCTCTCACTGGGTGGCTTCTGTCCGACATGAGCACCCGATTCTGGGGCCGTGGAACCGGTCACTCTTCCACTTAAGAAAGTTCCTTACATGTTTCCAGTTTTTAAAACCCTCCTGCCTGCGAAGTGTCTAAATCCTTCAGGAAGTTTCTAAATATTGTTTCGTTGTTCACCTTGTCTTAAGTAGGCTCCACACCCTGCATGGAGCCCAATGTGGGGCTTGAACTCACCACGCTGAGATCATGACCTGAGCAGAGATCAAGAGTCCGACGCTTAACCCACTGAGCCGCCCAGGCGCCCCTGTATTTTGTTTAAGCTTTAAATCTCCAGTCGTGGGGAGGTGCCTCTGGGCATAATGAGCAGCAGAGATTTCATATCGCTCTTTTCCCCACAAGAAGAGCCTCCGTCCCCAAGCGTCTTGTGAACGGTCCCCTCTGCTCCCGTGCGCCCGCCCCCTCTGTCACACCCACTCCGTCTACAGTCCTTAGCCGCCGCGGGCTCATGTCTGGACTGCTCCCCACAGACAAGGGGCAGGAGCGGGGGGCTCGCACAGACGGGCAGGGGAGGGACAGCAGGGGAGCGGGAGAGGACCCCCCCCCCGCCCGGGACAGGGTCGACGGGCAGCTGGGACGCAGGCGTCCACGTCGCCGCTCACACCAGGCACAGCCTGCACGTGGCATGGCTCACCTTGGCGCTACAGCGGGCAGGGGCCCGGAAGCCAGTGTCCACGACAACCGCGTAGAGCGGGTGGTCGGCTGGGGCGTCTTCCTGCAGGAAAGTGTAGCCGGCGCTCGCTCGCTCGTGACGATCTACACGCCTGGCCTTGGTAACCAGAAGTGCATAAAGAACTGTGGAAACCACGATGAAAATACCGGGAAGCAGGTTTTCTGGGCGTCTGTAAACAGAAGGACAGGAATGGATGGTCAATTATGAAGGTAGAGCCCCCGGCTGGCTCACGCTCACACTCACGCACGTGCACACACACACACACGCACGCGCGGCCCCGCTGGTCTTCACCCATCTGCGTGTAAAGGCGCGTCAGCCCCGTAACTGGGAGAAGCCAGCAGACCCTTGCTGGGACGCGGCCAGCAGGGGAAGGTGGAGGGAGCGGCCTCTGTCGTCCAGTGTTGGGACGGGTCTGAGCCCCTCCGGGGAAGCCGCCCACGACTGGATCAGGCACAGGGACACAGACAAAGCGGCCTGGGACGGGCGGCTTCGGGGCGGAAGTGGGGCTGCCCTGCGGGGCAGCTCAGTCAGTTAAGCGTCTGACTCTTGATCTCGACTCAGGTCATGATGTTACAGTTTGTGGGTTCAAGCCTCGCATCGGGCTGTGCGCTGACAGCGTGGAGCCTGCTTGGGATTCTCTCTCTCTCTCTCTCTCTCTCTCTCTCTCTCTCTCTGCCCCCCCCCCACTGTCTCTGTCTCTCTCAAAAGAAATACATAAAACTTTTAAAAATTTAAAAAAAAGAGAAAGGAATGTGATGAGAACAGCCGTCTCACTGAGCAGTACGTGTGCATCCGTAGTGGGCTTGCACACGTGTGTCACTGCATAGTGGGCTTGCACACATGCGCGCAGTGAGCGCTCCCCCCATCCCAGCAGACCCCACCCTGCGTGCTCCGGCTGCCTGCACCCCTGCACCTGTCCCCCGCCGCCGGCTCCAGGCACCAGTGCTGCCTGGGGGGTCACGGGGCGGGGGGCCCTTCGAGCCACCTGTGCCCACGCCCTGACCTGGCCTGGAGTCTCGCGGGGCCTCCACCGGGGTCTCTAGGACGGGCGCAGGGCCCGGCTTTGCGGGGATGCTGTCTTTCCAGAACCTTCCTGCCCCTGCAGGCCTCCAGGGGCCGCCCCTCCCCTAACGACTCAGCCCCCTGAAGTCCGGTCAGAAACCGCAGAACTGCTGTCCCGAGTCCCAGTCGTTAGCCTCCTGGTGACGGCACTGTCCCCGGGACTGATTAGGTAGTAAAGCACAGCCGGCTTCCCCATCCCATCAAAGTCGGGGGCAGAAGCCTGACAGGGACTCCAGCAGAACATGCGGAACCTCCTTCAGTAAACACCCAGGGGCACCTGCTGTGCGCCCAGGACACCGGGGGGCCAGCAGAGGGCGCCTGCGCCACAGCTCAGTCTCCTTGCCCCGGACACTAGTTCTTTTCCACGTCCGTTCATTTATTTTGAGAGAGAGACAGAGAGAGCCCTCAGCGGGCTCCGCACTGGCAGCGCGGAGCCCAACACGGGGCTTGAACCCATGAACTGTGAGATCATCACCTGAGCCTAAATCCAGAGTCAGACGCTTAACCGGCTGAGCCACCCAGGCGCCCCCCAAATACACGCTTTCTGTATCAAACGATGGCTACAGAACAGGGTTGAGTTCAAATCTCTTCTGTAAAATGCGACACCTTTGGAGGCACCTGGCTGGCTCAGTCAGTAGAGCGTGCGACTCTTGACCTTAGGGTCGTGGGCTCGAGCCCCAAGGCGGCAGAGAGGTCACTTCAACAAACCAACCCCAACAAAAATAATACAGCAAAACGGGGCACTTTTGAAGAGAAAGAGGGCGCTTAGAACACGTACAGACCAGGACAGGCAAGCCGCCGCGTCCTCAGCGGGAACGCCCAGGCCACGCTGACCCAGGGCCGAGCCTGACGGGAAGCGCGCGGACACACGTCTGGTCAGCGGAGGTGAGGACGGAGAGGCCCACGCGACGTTCACGGCCGAGGGCCGCTAACATGGGCCTCCCGAAAGGCAGACTGGCCCCCAGGGCCGTGGGTTGGAGGCACCTGCTGGGTCGTGTGCGGCGTCCTGCGCGGGCAGGGGCGGCACCACTGTACCCTCACGTGGAACGTGGCGCTCACTCACCTCTGCAGCGTGGAAACGTCCTCCACTGAAAAAGCGGCGCTGAGGGTTCTTCTTGCGACGGAGATGGGGGCCAGGCGGTCGTAGCTAGGAGGGAGGCGCGGGTCAGGGCGCCACCTGAGTGTGGAGGGCGGTTTCTACAGGGTCACGACCACGGGTCAGGGGAGGGGCGGGAAGGGGGACGGGGTCCAGCACTCTCAGGGTCCACACCGTGCGCGGTGCAGCCCAGGCCCGGAGACGGCAGGTCTGCGTGCCAGCCCCGCTGCGGGCGGACGAGGGCCACCAAGCGGACTCGGGGTCCAGGGGCCCCGTCACGGTCCCCGCTACCACGACCGTCGCTGTAAAGCCTGACTCTGTTTTGACTCAACCCCACGCACCCCTGCCCGTCTTGTGAGCAGACCCCGCGTTGTGTTCAGTGTCGTGCCTCAGGCTCCCGGAAAAGGGCCAGCAGACAGCGGGATGGGACGCAGAATGAACGACTGCGCGGATGCAACTTGACGTCAGAGTGAAACACTGAGCCACTACCGGTAGCGTCGATGATGTGCTACCCGGGCACCGTATACACGCAACAGGGCACGATGACCGTGGGGACACGCCGACATGGGTGTGGCCCGGGCATCCCTCCCCCTGACACACACCGCAAAACACCGCCCCTCGTGACTTGGTGCTTCCTTCCCTCCTTCCTTCTTCCTTCTCTTCCGCTTCCCTTTCCTTCCTTCCCTCCGTCCCCCCCTTTCTTCTTTACTTCCTATGTCACCCCTTCCCTTCCCTTTCTCTCTTTCTCTTCCTCCCTGCTTCTCTCCTTCCTTATTTTGAGAGAAAGAGAGCATACACATGAGCAGGGGAGCAGACAGACAGAATCCCAAGCAGGCTCCACAGCATCAGCACAGAGCCGGACGCGGGGCTCGATCCCACGGCCCCTGTGAGCTCATGACCCGAGCTGAACCCAAGAGTCAGACACTCAACTAACTGAGCCACCTGGGAGCCCGAGACTTGATTCTAAGAAGGAAGGGACCGTTTCTACTTCTGAATCTACCTCTGCTGCACAATCACTATATCCTCCTCTCTAGTGGAAAGGTCCCGGCAGAGCCTCTAACACGACTGCCTGGTTTGCCCAGATGGTAAGGAATTCGTAATCGAGCGGCGTGACCGATACACCCAAGTTGTCAGGGGGCTGACGTGGTCCACGTGGGGACTTCCCTGCACACGAACTTCACCTTCACGACCACGTGGCGGGGCGCCCCACCCAGGGCACGCAGAGGAGCTGCGAGTGCAGACACCCTATGGCCTGAGTGCAGACGGCCCGCAGAACACATAGAGCGGTCGACACTGGGTGCCACCCCCCCTTCTGCATATTCCCTCAGTGGCCACGGGGGGGACACCAACCACGTGCCATCACCCCAGGGAGGGGAGGGTACAGAGAGCTGAGGAGCCAGACCCCGGAACATGGAGGCAGCCAGACCCGCCGACCAGAGGGGTGCACATTTCTGCGAGACCTCGGCCGGGGAGGTGCCGGGCCAGCGCAGCAGGAGATGCAGTCCTGGGGGAGGGTCGGCTTGGGCTCAGCAGCGCGTCCCTACCTGCAGCTCACTTTGTCTGGAGGAGCCCCTGGCCGCGGAGGGGCGTCTGCACACCTCCACGCTCCCGTTTCCCAGAAGAGGCATCGGAGCCCCTGGAGGCGCACAGTGTAGTTGACGGCCTCGGCCAGGTGCTGGTTCCGAGGGCTTCTGTCGTGGTCAGCGTCCAGTAAGGACAGGTACCCTGAGCTCGCGTCTAAGGACGGGAGAGAAAGAAACGCAATACAGCCTGAAGTTTGCAAAAGGGCATCATGTCCCCCAAAGGTGGCTGGGGGATGTGTGCAAGGGGTGGGGTGTGGGGGGAAGAAGGCAGTGGGCAGGGGACCGGGGGGGGGGGTGGCAGCCTCTCCAGCTCCATGCCACCCCGCCCCTGCCTCTCCTTGGCCCCGTCGGTCACCTGCCAAATCCCAGTGCGTCCCGAGTCTGCTGTCGTACAGGAAGGACAGTGCAGTAACTGTGCGGTGGCAGAGGGCACTCTTGGATGACTTTTATGCTTAGAAGCAAACACATTTGGGGCACCTGGCTGGCTCGGGCTCAGTCAGTACAGTGTATCAACTCTTGATCTCAGGGTTGTGAGTTCAAGTCCCACATTGGGTATTGAGATTGCTGAGAAATAAAGTCTTAAAAAAATTTTAACACTCCATTTATTTAAAATTTGCCCCTAAGTCTTTTTAAAAAAATTATTATTATTTTTTTTTAGAGACAGAGAGAGAGCTCATGTGAGCGAGGTGCAGAGGGAGAGAGAGTGTGGAGTCCGACGCAGGGCTTGAACTCTCGAATTGTGAGATCATGGCCTGAGCCGAAGAGGGAGCCACCCTGGAGATCTGCCCCTAATAAATGATATAGAGACAACCAACTACTTGGACAGATATTAAATCAAGGGCGCCTGGGGGGCTCAGTCGGTTAAGTGTCTGACTTCAGCCTAGGTCATGGTCTCACTGTTCATGAGATCAAGCCCCGTGTCAGGCTCTGTGATGGCAGCTCAGAGCCTGAAGCTGCTTCAGATCCTGTGCCTCTCTCTCTCTCCACCCCTCCTCTGCTTATGCTCTGTCTCTCTCAAAAATAAACATTAAAAATTATTTTTAAAAAACATGAAATTCGACCTGTATCTCACGCCACCTGCAGTGAGAAGGATCAATCAGAGATCTAAACATGAACAAATAGAGCCGTAGAGACACCAAAAGAAAACATAACGTGAATGATTTCTTTCAGAACCTGGGCATAACGAATGAATTTCTAGCTAGGACTCAAAAGCTAAAAGTAACTGAAAACAAGTTGATAAATTTTATTATTAAAAAAAAAACCTTTTATGATGCAAAAAAAACCCCAATGTAAACAAAGTAAAAAATTTAGAAATATATAGAAAAAATAAACTTGAAAGAGATATGGGGATATATGAATAGTTCAACAAAAAAGGAGGTAATGACCTTTAAACATGAAAAAATGCTCAAATGACAAATATAAATCGCCACTGTTTATCTTTTTCCTAATTTTCCATCAGCTTGAAATTTCTCGCAATAAAAACTATGGATGGGCGCCTGGGTGGCTCAGTCAGTGAAGCATCTGACTCTTGCCTTCGGCTCAGGTCATGATCTCATGATCCATTGGTTCAAGCCCCGCGTCCGGCTCTGTGCTGACAGCTTGGAGCCTGCTTGGGATTTTCTCTCTCTCTCTGCCCCTCCCCCTCCTGCTCTCTCCCTCTCAAAACAAACTAAAACAAAACAAAAAAAAAAGAAACCTATTTGAAAAAAGTCAAAGGCAAAGATTTTCAAACTGCCAGTGAGAATCTCAAGTTGGAAAGTCCGTTCTGGAAAGAAACATGGAGCTCACAGTGTCCAGGTCTCAGGGGAAAACACATCCCGCAGAAATGTGAAAACAGGAGACAGGTGAGCCAGACGGACGCCAATGCCCGTGAGAGGACCACAGACCCGGGATCAGCTGGGCCCGTGCGCTTCTGGGGTATGGGCTCCCCGAAGCGACCAGCCTGCTTCTTGCCTTCTGGGGGAACAGACCCGGGAGCCTAAGCAGGCAGGATCGGTCCAGAAGGACCCTGCCCTGCCCGCTGACGGCCCGGAGGGGGTGGGGCGGTCCCGGGGCTGCAGGGAGGCTGTCGAATCACGGCCCCCAATGCGGGGGGACAGAGCAACACACAGGAGAGGCAAACACAGGTGCCAGGAGGACAGCCAGCAGAGACCCGGGGTTCAGGGAAGTCCCCCCAAAGAGGAGCGAGGTCCCGCGTTCTGACCTCTCAGAGAACTGGCTGGGACAAACAGGTGCACCACGGGCTCATCCCAGGCGTACACCTTTTTCACGAGAAAATCAGAAGGAGTAGGCTTCTCGGAGAACCTAGGAGGGAAAAGCAAAGCGATACGTCTAGTTTTGTTTTGCTCTTTTCCTGTCGCGGGCCTTCGTCATGCGATGCTGTGCAAGGACAACGAAGATGCGGGCGGGACCCGCGGGGCCCCTGTGCGTGTCCCCCGGCAGCACCAGGCTCTCAGGGAGAACTACACACTCTCCCCCGTCACTGCCGCTGCGCTAAAAACAGACACTTCGTCCAAAACAAGGACCGTACCCAGCGCAGCGTGCGGGGACACAGGGCGCGGCACACGAGCTGGTGCTGATGCCGGCGGCCGGAACGGGCGGGCCGAGGCGGCGAGGCAGGCCCAGTGCACCGTTTTTGCCTCTGACTTTAGAAGAAAGAAGGGAAAATCCAAAACAAGAAAAGAAACCTACGGGGGCGCCTGGGGGCTCCGTCGGTTAAGCGTCCGACTTGGGCTCAGGCGTGACCTCGCGGTTCGTGAGTTAGCGCCCCGCGTCGGGCTCTGTGCTGACAGCGGGGAGCCTGCTTGGGATTATCTCTCCCTCTCTCTCTCTCTGCCCCTCCGCCTCAAAACAAAGAAAATTTATAAAAAAGTATATAATGTGAATTTCACTCCCTAGATTTTCGCAGGGACTTCCTTGCTGGCTGGAAAGGAAGCCCGGCTTCCCCCACAACACACCTTAGGAGCACCATGACCCGGAACGCTCTTGGGACGGGCCTGGAGAATTCTATCCTTATCTGCAGAGACTCCTGGGGGCTTTCGGGACGCCCGGAGAACTGATGAAAATTCACTTTCTCCCGAAGCAACGCAAACGTCGTCCTGTGTCTCGTCTCACCCTGTCGCCACACGGAAAGCGAGGTCAGCAGAATTCGCACGTGGAAAAGTCAAGGCGCGTAAGGCCGGCGCGGCCTCTGTGGAGTCGCGGCTGAACGAGTGTGCCTCACCAGGCCGTCTTCCTCCCCGAACTCCACGGCCACGGGCTCCCTCAGCCGCCGCCTGCTGACGGGTCTCCTGCTGGAGCAAGCGCACAGGGACAGGGCGACGAGCGGGCCCATCTGCGGAGACAGGAGCGCCTAGGAGCGGGGCGCAGTGCTGGGCGCCCGGCAGCTGGGGGCGCGTGGAGAGGCGCGGCTCCCTCCCTGGCTGGGACAGCAGGGTCGCCTGATCACTCTTACTGCAGTAACAGCTGCCCAAGTCTCTAGGTAGTTTTGTTTTTCACTCTAGCAGCTGGCACAGAGCAGCGGCAGGTCGTAGATGGTCGGGAAGGCACAGCTAGGTGTGCAGAAGACACCCCGACAGCTGCGCTGTGTCGCCGCATCCCACCCTCTCTGTGCCCCAGATACGTAGTGGGCACACGGCGCACGCGCTTCGCTCTTTGCATAAAATCTCCCAGTCGGTAAAAGCCCCCGACTGACATAGTGTTAACCAGCGACACGTGGGTCTATGATTCACTGAAATCACCAGCGAGCGGGTCTCCTTGTGGAACACGCAGATACGTTTCCATTTAGGTGGCCGTGAATACGCTGGTTTGAGTACAAACATCAAACCACACGTCCTGCCTGGAACGACTCCTCTCTCCTCCTCTGTGGACTCCGCGTAGCAGCAGGTCCCGTGCGTGAAGCCTCCCGGGGAGCAGGCACCCTGGATGTCTGCTCGCGCACCTCCCCACACGTGAGTCTCCCTATAGAACTGCCTGCGGCGTGCGGGAAAAATCACTCTGAGCTCTGTTTCCTTACTGCCTGTTAATCTGAATGATTTTCACGGGCTGACTGGCCATGTCTATTTCCCTAAGAAAATAACAACAGGTTGGTGTTTTCTCAGATGAGCATTCTTCACCAAGACTAGCTGTACATCGTCCACTGCTGCACTCAGTCGTCAGACCTTTACCGGGTGCCCGAGCCGAGGGTGGGGGGTGTGGGACACACAGAGCACGTGGATTCTGCCCCCAGCCCCTGTTACGCCGGGGCCCTGCGGGGGGTTCCGGATGCAGGAGGTGAGGCCGGGGCTCCCAGAATCGCCAAGAGCCGGCCCCTCCTCTGCCGACGCCCCCCGAGAACCCAGCGGCCACCTCGCTGCCTCAGCCTCGATGGGCTGGTGAGGTGAGCGTGGGAGAAAAGAGCTACAGTCTAGCTGGCCCCGGGCAGCCCCTTCTCAAGTCTCACTGGGTTAAATTCTTCATTCGATTTGCAGAAACAGGTTAAAATACCGAGTGGGCCCGGGTCCCAGGATCCCAGGGAGACCTAGTTTCGCTAAAAGCTTCTTCTGAGAAAACTAGAGCCAAGAGCACGTCCTGAGCGGCTGGCTCTCAGACCTGAACGCATCGTGCCACACGGACCCCGCTCGTCAGCCACAGCGCAATCACGGCCCGATGGAGGCGCTCGTTGGAAGGGACGGGTCGCGTGGGTCACATGCCGTGTGGTACCTGGCCAGGAGCTTGTCCCCCCGGATACGGGTTCTTCTTGAAGAACATGAGCTGGCTGATGTAGCACGGGCTCCGCGTCTCCCCCGCCAGGTCTCCGGGTAAATGCACCCGCACAGAGCCCAGGCTCCGCACGGCGCCCTGACGGTCCCGACGAAGCAGTGTGCGGAACTCCATCTGCCCGGCGCGGACATGGAGCTCGGGCTCCCTGGTGACAGAGAGACGGTCCTGGAACAGCAGAGTCAACCGTTCACAGCGCGAATGAGTACGCGGTCTCGAGTCCGGAGGCAGGGGAGAGGCAGAAGGTAACGGAAAGCGTGGCACAACTCAAGGTAGTTTGGACACGCTGGCCCGAGAAGCATTTCGATACAGGGATGGGAGCGCCAAATGACAATGATACACACCCTGTTTTCCTTGGTGTGGGCGCCTGTGCCTGTGACATCTGACTCACTTTGGGACAACTGCTATCCTTCTACCGGGTTCTTAGCCCATCCAGAAGGAGCCTCGATCCTGCGTGGTCTTGCTGTGTGGACCAAAGTGCGTGTCTTGGGGTTTCGAGCAGGGGGGGTGTGAGGTGAGCAGCTCGTGTTTCTAGATGCATAGTCGCTAATCGTGGTTGCTATGGGGAGGGGGGAACTGGATGGGCACCTGTGTCTTTCTCATTTCCCAAGTTAAGCCAGCAGGTCTGGACGGGAGGGATCAGGGGGCTGCCTTTCACATTAGCGCACGTTAGAAATCGCTTGTGTTACTTCACTCTGCTCCTTGAGAAGCAGAGAGTGTGCTGAGAAGTACCGTGTCCAAGTCAGGCGCCGCCCCAGACACCCCCAGGGGACTCCACCAAAACACACAGGCGGGAACAGATCAGGGTCATCGGGGACACTACAGCGTTTGCATCAAACGCTCGAAACTCAAAACAAAAATCTCCAACGATGCCCACGAGCACCGAGAACAAGCCACATGGAACCTCAGGAGGCAGTTACGCTCTCGGTGTCTAGGAGCAGCTAGGGGAGGGGACGGCTGTCACCAACCAACACAAAGTCTGACTCACCAACAAGAGGCCCGAGATGACCTCAATGCCCTTGTCTTGAAGGAAGCCCGCATTCCTCGGCGTCTCCTGGTCGGACACGTCCCAGACGGTGGACACCACCAGGATGAGCTCAAGCATCGTCCGCTCGGCCACCGCGGGCCTCCCCGAGAGTGGGCTCGGAGCCAGGAGCTCCCGGGCCGACTCGAGGATGAGAGCAGCACTTGTGAAGCTTACCTGCGGGAGGAGGGAAGGCGTAAGCCCGTCTCCCCACACCTGCCTCCTCCGTCGCCTCTGGAAATGGTGAATGCGGCACCAGGGCTCCAGACAGTGGGGTTCAAGCCCGGGTTCCGCCTCTAGCGGACGATCAGCCAACTTCCTGGATGCCAGCTTCCTCTCTGGTCTCCAGTTTCCTGACCCATGAAACGACCAGAGAAATAAGGGTCTCGAACAGCCGTTATGCGAAGATGCTACTTGGTCTGAACCCAGCGACCGCTGCGCAAACCCTCTAATGGCTCCCCAAGAATGGAGCTCTCTCCCGGCAGTGCCTTTCCCTGCGTCTGCTGGCAAAATCCTACTTTTCTCTCTCTTTTCCTAAACCCCTAATAGGGACCATTTTCAGACATACACAAAAACAGAATAACCCAGCTGTGGCCGTTACCTATAGGCAACAGATTTCATATCCCTCCTCTGGCTTCCAAGAAGAGATTTAAAAGCAAATCTCATTGTTTCTACTATTTCGACCCACGAATACGTCAGTACGTACTGTTGATGTGAGGACTCTTCCTGAAGACGTGCTCACAACGCCATTACCACATCAAACAGGATTAATCCTGATTCTTTCCCACGTAGGTTTTAAAATCAAATTCAAATGTTTACTAGCAAAGCATTCTGCCTCACCGCCTGTGTGTCTCGAGCTCTCTGCCCTGCCTCCCTACAGACCTGCACTCCGTCCCTCCTCCCTACGGGACCTGCGCTCTGCCCCCTCCTCCCTATGGGACCTGGCATATTTACTGCGGTGTGTCTGTTCATGCTTTCAGTGTCGGTCACGGGTGCCCCAAAGACAGCACTGGGTCACCTCCTTGTGCCCTGGAGCCCCGACCAATCACCAAGTAAATGGATATCAATAAGATGAAATTAGGATTCTACTTTCTGACAGCCATGCTTGTTTCACCAAAATGTGGCTTGGAAACACTTCCTGGTGTCAAGCTTTCACCAGCGAGGAAATGAAACTAGTCTGGAAACACTATTAAGGTACGACACACAGAGTATTTAACAGAATTGAAATAATTTCTTATTTCAAGCAAAACAAATGCTTTAAAGAATATATTATGCCCACTTACTGGCCATTTTATTTTTGTTTATTTTGAGAGAGAGAGAGCGAGAGAGAGAGAATGAGCAAGGAAGGGGCAGAGAGAGAATCCCAAGCTGGCTCTGAGCTGTCTCAAACCACAAGATCATGACCTGAAATGAAACCAAGAGTTGGGTGCTTAACGAACTGAGCCCCACAGGTGCCTCCGCACTGGCCACTTTTTATTTTATTTTATTTTATTTTTTTTAAATGTTTTATTTATTTCTAGGAGAGAGAGAGAGAGAGCGTGAGGAGGGGAGGGTCAGAGAGAGAGGGAGTCACAGACTGAAACAGGCTCCAGGCTCTGAGCTGGCAGTCAGCACAGAGCCCGACGCGGGGCTCGAACCCACGAACCGCGAGATCATGACCCAAGCGAAAGTCGGACGCTTAACCGACTAAGCCACCCAGGCGCCCCTGGCCACTTTTTAATCAACGCTACCGGAAATGGTTTCTGCCAATGACAGTCCCGCTAAGGTTTGCCCACACCGCGGCCGGGACCGTGGCAGACCCGGGGTGCGTAGACGGGTGGGGGCCACGCAGATGTCTTTGGTGTCCACCAGTGTCTCCCTCCGACCCTGGGGGAGTGATTCCAATCCTGGGTGCCCGGAGCCCAGGAGCAGCCCTGGGAGGGGACCTCCCCAGGGGGACGTGAGGGGGTGCGGGGTGGCACTTACGGGCAATGTCCTCGACGAGCGGCGCCCCTTCTCCGTGCCTGTCTCCAGCCTGGGAGGTGTCGGGACACGGGCTGAGAGGGGCCGGTGTCCCCGCGTCACCCCGAGAAGCCCACCCGCTGATGCCTGTGTGGGATGCGTGCGTGATGGGGACAGACCGCGGCTGGGTCTTGACACAACCCTGTGTGAGATCCTAGCAGGTTAAGCCGTCTCGAGATGGGAGACAGATGTGCAGACAGTGACTTCCAGGCAGAGGCGCTGTCACGTACGGATTTGTCCGGAACAAGTGAGCCCTGTCTGCAAGCCCTGGGGAGCCTGCTGAGAAGGCACCACGTGAGCCTCGCCTGGGGGAGAAAACAGTATCTTCCCAGGACAAGGGGCAGGAACATTCCAGGCTGAGGCAGAACATACTGTTTCAGGGATGCAAGGAATACTCAGTGACAGGAGCATGGCGGGTGGCCACGGAAGGTGCGGGACGGAGCCCAGAGGATGTGGAGCGGGTGAAGCCCGGGCACGAGGCGCGGGAGAACTGACTTTGTCCTCAGGGTGCCGGGAAGCCCCCAGTGCCTTAAAGGCAGCGAGCACGGCTGGCTGAAGTGTCTTCTGAGGTCAGTCCAGGCAGGCGTGGGGGTGTGTCCCTGCTGGCGCCGGCCTTCCTCCTCACGTGTGGTCACGGCCGGAGCAACGCAAGGAGGTGCACGTGTGACTCGGGCTGGAGGGAGGAGATGGGGACGTGCGTCCACACCCTCACTTGGTCCCTTGTTCCTGCCACATGCGTGTCTGGGCTGGGCTATGGGTGCACAGGAATGCAAGGGGCCTGTGTTCATGGGAATGTTCTGGGGGCACGGAGCACAGTGAGGGAGGTGGGGAGCGCAGCGGGGGAGGCGGGGAGCACAGTGAGTGGCGAGGAGCACAGTGGGGGAGGCGGAGAGCACAGTGGGGGAGGCGGGGAGCACAGCGGGGGAGGCGGGGAGCACAGTGGGGGAGGCGGGGAGCACAGTGAGTGGCGAGGAGCACAGTGGGGGAGGCGGAGAGCACAGTGGGGGAGGCGGGGAGCACACTCAGGGGTTATATGGAGGAGTCTGCAACTCCTGGGCAGGACTAGATAGAGACAACAGTTCAGCTTCATCACTTGAATTAATGGAAAAAGGCAGTGATGAGAGCCCTGTCCCCCAGGAGGGAGCCAGTGCAGAGAGCCCGTGTACACCCACCAGGCAGAGGAGAAGGGAGGCGCCCACAGTGGTCACAGACAAAGAGGCTGTCCCCAGAGGGGGCCCTGGGGGAGTGTGCAGGCGCCAGGTCAGGAGCGGGCTCTGTGCAGGGCGGGGCGGCAGCTGGATCCCGTGCATGAGCCCCAGCGGGCGGGGAGCACTGCAAGGCTGCGCCTGCCTCCTGCAGAGGGGGGGTGCCTGGGCGGCTCAGTCGGTTAAGCGTCCGACTTCGGCTCAGGTCATGATCTCGCAGTTCGTGGGTTCGCGCCCCGTGTCGGGCTCTTTGCTGACAGCTCAGAGCCTGGAGCCTGTTTCAGATTCTGTGTCTCCCTCTCTCTCTGACCCTCCCCTGCTCACGCTCTCTCTCTCTCTCTCTCTCCTCCTCCTAGAAATAAATAAAACATTAAAAATAAATTTAAAGAGGGGCCACCACCTGCAACCATGTGGGGGCCCGCACAGTTCCAGGGGGCGCCAGTCACACTGTTTTACGGGGCAGGCGGGAGGGGGCGGTGAGGCAGCCCTGGACGGGACTCAGCATGAGTAGGGGTAAGCCCTCCTGGCGATGGGGCTTCCCCGCCAGGGCAAGGGGGGCCCGGAAGACCGGCTGGGCTGCAGCTCTCTCTGCGGGCTGGTGTAGACAACCTTGGTGGGGGTCTCCTCTCCCCTCCCAGCGAGCAGGCAGTGAGAACACCGGGGAAGGGGGGGGTGTGGGGCCAGAGATCGGAGAAGAAAGGAGGCACGGAGCGGGAGAACCCAGCACCCCGATTAATAACAGAGACCAGAAGGATGTGTGGCACGGAAGACACTGTCATAATCCACCTCCACTTCGGGTGTTCAAACTTCTGAACTGGGGAGATGCTCCTACCCGGTGATCTGGGACGCACCGTGCGGCTCCGGTGAATTCCGGAAGAAGTCCCGTGTCCAACTCAAGCCTCACCCCTGCACCGTACGCTCTTCGTGAACGGACGGAGACCCTCCCGGGGAGGCGCGAGAGCAGGAACACACCCTTCGCAGGAGACAGCACTCACCTTGTGAGGGAAGCGCAGAAGGTCCCTGAACAGGAGAATGGAGTCAAGCATGTCTTCCTGCCCCCGAGGAAAGAGCAAGCGGAAGGGAGAGGAGGGGAAAGGGAGCGTTACTGATGCAATTTAGAGCCGCACAGTTTGCCGTGGGCTCCTTCCTGCAGCTGGAGCGGATCCCGGAGGTCTGAGCCCAGAGACCGTGGAGGGACCCAGGGTCCCCTTGACCAGAGTTTCCCAGGAGGGCAGTGTGTCCTCCCCCAGCCCACCCGGAGCCTAACCGCGGGGGAAGGAGGAGGGCGGGGCTCAGGGAAGCTGGGGACGGGGCCAGACAGTCCATCTGGTCCCCTTCTTGACCATGCTTTGTAAGGAAGACGGCTTGCTGGTGAGCCGGGCCTGAGCATGCCCCGCCCCCGACGGTACCTGATCCTCGGAAGGCAGTCCACACGCGGAAGAAATCAGCGCATCCTGTATTCGGGACCTCTGGCCACACGGGGGACTGCTGTCGTCCGCAGCCCAGCGACTCAGGACCCTGGTGATCATGGCGATATGGTTCCTGGCTTCGGTGTAACTGCGCATCAGCTGAAGGGTGGACAGCTGCTTCAGGCTGGAATTATAGCTGAAGGAAATTGGGGCGTTACCAGGATTGCTCCGACACGCTGGGGACCTCTCCAGCCTGCCTACCAACACACGGGTCCTTGTAAGAGCTTCTTGGGGAGCTCGGGGCACACAGAGAACGGCTCAGAGCAGAGATGGCCTGTGCAAGAAACTCTGAGAAGACACAGTGAGGCAGCACATCAGAGTTGCAGAACACCCTTGATCTCTGCCTAAAGAGAATGACAGAGACGCATTGTGGGAAACGAGGGGCGTGGTGTGGGGCTGGACAGACCCTGCATGGCCGCCGCAGGCTGAAGGTTTGCATGCAGCTGACAGCAGAGCTGGAAGACAGCACCCAGAACCACAGCGTGGCCAGCACTCCGACCATAGCACATGTCGTTATCCCCGACTATGCGCCATGGTTAAGGGGTCGGTGCCCAGGGCGCAAGATAAACGTGAGTACGGAGATCAGTCCAGGTAATAAACCATAGCAACAGATGAGGGACCAAGTGCATGTGATCCTCTCGATGGATCTAACAAAGCACAGACAAAATCCAACACCCTTTCATGGTAAAAATAGCCCAGAGCTAGGAACAGGAGGGAATTTTTCAACCTGAAGAACCACATCATCGGGGAAGCTACGGCTGAGATCACACTAAATGTTTTGGAATGCTCCCCCGCCAGGATCGGAAGCAACACCGGGATTTCCACACTGGCCACTTCTACTCACCGCTGAACTGGGAATCTAAGCAGTGCAGTGAAGCCAGAAATAAGTTATCCAGATTGGAAAGGAAGAAGTAAAATTCTATCTGCAGATACCATGCTCTTCTATGTAGAAACACCCAAAGAATGCACTCAAAAACTACTAGAACAAATAAACGAGTTTAGCCGGGCCATGGGACACAACTGTGTATCTCTACACTAGCAATTAAAATCCAAACTAAGAAACAAAGAAAACAACTTGATTTACAATAGCTTTAAAAAGAATGAAATGCTTATAATAAAATTAACAAACACATTCAATACCTGTTCCCTGGAAACTAGACAATGTTGCTGAAAGGAATGAAGATCTAAGTAAAGGGAAAACTTTGCTCAGACATCAGAAGGCTTCGTATTCTCCATATGAATATTCTCAATTCTCAATATGACGATCTGTAGAATGACTCAAGGTAATCCCTATAAAAAATCCCAGGTGGCTTTTTGCAGAAATTGACAAAATAATACCCAGGAGATCCTGGATCACCAAAAAATTTTGGAAAAAGAACAAAGTTAGTGGATTGATGCGTCCCGATTTCAACACTCACCTCAAAGCCACAGCAGGTAGGACAGTGTGGCTGTGGCGTGAAAGGAGACAGAGACGAACGGAGCAGACACTGAGACCCCACAGCACTTCGGGTCAAGTGATTGTTGACCAAGGGACTCAGACAATCTAATGGGCTAAGATGGGCCTTCTGAACACACAGTGCTGGAAGGACCAGGCATCTGCGTGTGGAAAAGCAAACCCGGAGCCCTACCTCACACCACACACACAAGTGAGCTCCACGTGGGTCACAGAGCTCAGCCTGAGAGAGAAAACTAGGAACTTCCTACAAGAGAAACACGAGATTAAGTTCTACACATACCAAGGGCACCAGCAATAAAAGAGAAATTAGTAGAATTAGGAGGCTGAACCTCATGAAAATGAAACACTTTTATGTTTTTTTTTAAAATGTTTATTTGTTTTAAGAAGGGAGGAGCAGAGAGAGAGAAAAAGAGAGAGAGAGAGAAAAAGAGAGAGGGAGAGAGAGAATCCCAAGCAGGCTCCATGCTGCCAGCACAGAGCCCGACACTGGGCTCGATCCCGCCAACTGGGAGATCAGGGCCTGAGCCGAGATCGAGAGTGAGACGCTAACCCGACGGAGCTCCCAGGGCCCAGGACTGTGCTCTGTGAATGGAGAGCGAGTGGCTCGCAGACGGTTTCTCAGCACGACGATTCCCTTGGTTCATCCTGAGAAGACGGGCCCCGGGAGCCACCGTTTACACCGCCCCCCGAGGAAAGGCAGGCGCGCTGGGGCCTGTGTGCCGCTCACTCACATGTCCTCATCCGGGCAGAGGCCCCGGTGGAGACGGGGCAGCACGGTCACGGCCACGGCGCACGGCTGCACCCGGGAGCCCGCGCCGTCTGTGATCTCGGTGGACAGCACCACTGGAAGGGAACGTGGCAGAGGAGGGTCGCTGCGGACACCACCCCTCAGGACCCGGACTCTCCGCCACGCAGGCCTACGTGCCGGCCGTCACCAGGGCGGTGACGTCACCATAAACCACAACGGAGTGAGGTGTGAGCACGGAGCGTGGCTGCAGGGGACACGGAGGTCCGCTTGCCCCACGCCCCCACACTCCCTCGTCTGACCTGCAGCCCGAGGCCACCGGTGAACGGGACCGGCCCCCCCGGGAGGGCTGGACCAGGGGGAACTGGGGCCCCGGGGAGCCCAGAGGACGGAAGTCACAGCCCGCAACGGGGGGTCAGGTATCGGGGTAACATTTTAAGCAGCTCCTAAGTGATGTGCAGAGTCTGGAGAAAGGCAAAGAAGGAAGTCTGTGTGAAGTCACAGGAGCGTGGCCGGAAACGGCTTCTCCGGGGCGTCAGGAACTCTGTCCTGTGGTGCAGGCCCAGGGTTTGGGGGGCGGAGGATGCTCACCATGAAGGCCACGGGCCCGGCCACAGGAGCCACGCAAAAGAGCAGAACACAGGCCTGCCAGGGGCCTTCATGAAAACATTTCAACCCAAAACACGGGGCCCAGGATTTGGGACTTTATTTTGAGGGTAATGGTCCCTGGACCCTGGCCACCCATCATCCCTCCAAGCGAACCCTGGGCTCCCCCCCAGGACTCTGAGCCCCCAGATACAGGGTGGCCCCATTTCACCTGCGAGAGAGCCAGTTTAAGGAGATGCGGGGACCCCACTGCGGGTGACAGGGGCCCTTGGCTGCAGCGGGCGTGCTAGGGAAGCAGCCGGGAGAGCAGGTTCAGGCGACCCCACCCCGACCCCTGCGGCTGTGGGACCTTCAGTCCGGAGACGGACGGGCTGGGATTACGGATCTGTCCCACTGTGTTTATGCTGTCTGCATCCCCGCTCATGGGAATCTCCGAGTCAGACACTCGTAGGAACTGATCGTCCCTGTGCTGACTGTTAACTTCAGTGCGGTCTTCGGGAATGACCTGAGTGACATCACACATTGACAGTGACTGCGGGCTGAAACGTGGGTTTACAAATTCATCCAACACGGGGGTGCCTGGGTGGCTCAGTTGGTTGTGTCCAACTTCAGCTCAGATCATCTCAGGGTTCGTGGGTTTGAGCCCTGCATCGGGCTCTGTGCTGACAGCTTGGAACCTGGAACCTGCTTCGGATTCTGTGTCTCCCTGTCTCTCTGCCCCTGCCCTGCTCGCATTCTCTCTCTTTCAAAAGTAAATAAACATTAAAAAAAATAAATCCATTCAGCACGTTGCTGAGGCCCTGCCCCGACGTCCTAGGTGGGCACGTACACAGCCCTGTGGTCTGCACACCCCTGCGGACGGCACAGGGTCCCACGTGGCCTGTGGGCAGGCGTCTGGTGAGAGGCACTGCCCCGTCCGAATCAAAGTGCAGGGCTTCGTGCCCAACACCAGGAAGCGAGGGAGCCCGGGGGGTGAGCGCCCGTTTGGAGGGAACTTTCCAGGAAACAGAAGGTGTGTGCAATTTTGTTCCGGAGGAAGTGACAAGGCAGTCCCTGGACACCACCTCCAGCCAGAGCTGTGCCCGTCACGGCACGCAGGAGACGTGCCCGTCCTAGTGGATTGGTGTCTGGCACATAACGCCTTTGCTCGGTGTCACTGACCTACAGCCAGGAGAAGGTGCACGCGCGTCCACCTGCGGGGCAGCAGGCTTTCCCGAACGAGGACGCTTTCTGGCTGGGGTTCAGGGAGCGGGGAGGTTCACGTAGACCGAGTGGACAAACTAATTGCAGACATCAGGCTGCATAATCTCATGTGGCTAGATCAAAGGTACATCTACATCAGGGACTTCAAACTTGCCTGCACGTCAGAATCATCCGGAAGGCTAAAAACCCATACTCTGTTAGTCCCAGAGATTGAGGTTACTGGTATGGGTCCTGCAGATGGGGCCGCTTTCCTCAGTGGTGGGGTGTCTGATACCCACAGCGGAGACGGGCCGCTCGGGCTGGCTGGGAATGGGGCGGCCGGCCAGCACGGGGGCCGAGGAAGCCGCCAGCCCTGTGAGCTCTTCTCGTTCTGAGAACGACACATACTCAACTCTGCATCCCTTACCCCTGTGTGTATTTCGCGGCCAGAGCCCCCCGATTTGGTTCTGCCTACAACCAGTGCAGGATTCACTGCACACCACACACTTCATCAGGAAACAAGGGCAGCTTGGTCTCAAACGTTTAATCCACACAAGACGTTCCCTGGCACTTAGCAACTGACACAAGATTTCGGCTACAATTTAAGACAGAAGAAGCTCATTTATATACAGTCGTGCTAATGTGGTCTCTGCACTAAAAAGTAGGTGATCCACTTCATCTAAAAAAGCATTAAACTTTTCGAGATGAATAAATAAGAACTTTCTAGATGCATAGTTTTAACATTTTGTTGTTTTTGGAAAACGCGGGGTGGGGGGAGGAAGGTTTAGAGTCGTAAGCAAGCGCAGCCAGCGACGTACACCCACGGCCTGACTGACCTTTATAGCCGTCCAAGGGCTCGCCTGCGGGCAGTGCAAAGTAGAGCTGGCTGTCCGTCCCACGGTACAAAGTGTGTCTGGACCCATTTCCTATCCGGTAACTGAACTCGTAACGAAAGTCCTAGGATCCGTTCCGGAGAGAGCAAAAAAGGTGTCTAGATGAACAAACTGAATCACGTCCCCAGAAGTACATGCCCCTGCCTCCCTCACTCCACGCAAGGGCGCGGTGTACACACAGGCCGGGGGCAGGTCCTAAGTTGGCGTCCCCCGAAGCACACGCTTGGGGTGACCTCCCACCTGCGGGTCCCCCTCCCGGAGCCAAGAGGACCCCACACATGGCTGAGCCTGTCACTCAGGGCCGTGTGCTCGTCTGGCCTGGAGCCTCCCCAAAATCTCAGAGGTGCAGGTGGTCTGGGCCTCCTCGGGGTGAAGGGACACAGCAGACGGGAGATGGGGGGCTCGCAGCTTGTTCTTGGTGTGAGAACAGGGCATTTGGACAAACGAAGAGAGAGGGGCAGAGCAAGAAACAGACTCTTAACTACAGAGAACACACGATGGCCACCAGAGGGGGTGGATGGGGGAACCGGTGATGGGGGTTCAGAATGCGCTTGTGATGAGCACCGGGTGTTGTGGAGAAATGTTGAATGAGGGGTGCCCGGGTGGTTTGTCAGTTAAGCGTCTGATTCTTAGTTTCGGCTCAGTTCATGATCTCCCAGTTCACGGGCTCGAGCCCCACATCGGGCTCTGTGCTGACAGTGCAGAGCCTGCTTGGGGTCCTCTCTCCCTCTCTCTCTGCGCCTCCTCAGCTTTTTCTCACTCTCTCTTAAAATAAATAAACTTTAAAAAAATGTTGAATCACTATATTGTACACCTGAAACTAACTCTTTACGTTAACTATACTGGAATTAAAATAGAACCTTAATTTAAAAAAACCCAGGGCCTTTGCCTGGGCCACGAGGGAAGCCAGGATCCAACCCTCCAGGGACACAGTCTGTGGGTTCTGAGGGAGGGAGCAGGATCAGGGAAGGAATGGGTGGAGGGCACGGCCACGGCTCCTGCCCCTGGACCCCAGGGTCACCGTCCCCGAGGGCACGGCCACGGCTCCCGCCCCTGGACCCCAGGGTCACCGTCCCCGAGGGCACGGCCACGGCTCCCGCCCCTGGACCCCAGGGTTGATGTCCCATGAGCTTTCCCGGGAGAGCTGGCTCTGCCCCAGCCTTCGGACGCACTGGGGGAGGCTGCGCGTACCGGTCTCCCCGACATGCAGAAGATGCTGAAGACGGTGTGCGCCTCGAGACCGCGATGTGGCTGCACCTGACAGACCACGTCCCGTGGAGCTGGCCTGAGTGTCACGTAGAGCTGAGCTCGTCCCAGGAGGCCGTGCTTGGAAGCTGCAGAGGAGAGTGCAACTGGGAACGATGGCCGCGTGGCTACACAGTCGTGCACGGTCGCGGTGCGACCCCGTGTGATCCCCAGACAGCGGCATTGCGTCACCCGGGAACGTGCTAGAGATTCGGACTGGGGCAGAGCCGGAGTGGGGGATGTGCGTGGGAGGCGGGGACCCCGCTGTGCAACACCTGCCATCTAGCACGTCCACAGGCCCTCACTGTGCGGGCAGCCACACCCCAGGCCCGGAGGGCGGGAGGCACACAAGGCAGATGGAAATCAGTCCTGGGCACAGACACTAAGGGACTCGGGACTCCAGCTCACTGCAGCCTCACCCCCAGGTCCTCTCGAAGCCTCAGCCACAAACACAGGTGAGTGTGGCTACTTGAATTTAGCACTGACACCATTTTAAGTGGCTTCTGTTAACCGCATTCATATGTAACTACCAGGGGGCCTCACGGGGAGGTCAGACACGTGCTCATGCCTGGGAGAAAGGGGGCCAGCGCCGAGTCCTACACTGGAAACGCACCGGGGGTGTCCCTGAGCCCCAAAGTGTGAGCACCCACCCAAACCCATCTGTAGTGTAAACTGTCAGACCCTTTGGGCTTCTAAAAATGGAACTAAGGACCTCTAGGGGGCGCCCGGGAGGCTCAGTCAGATGAGCGTCTGACTCCCGACCTCGGCTCTGGTGGTGATGTCACAGTTCCTGAGTTTGGGTCCTACACTGGGCTCTGTGCTGACGGCGTGGCGTCTGCTTGAGATCCTCTCTCTCCCTCTCTCTCCCTCTCTCTCCCTCTCTCTCTGCTCCTCCCCCACTCGCTCACTCGCTCTCAAAATGAATAAACTTAAATGAAAACAAAAACCTCTAGAAATTGGGCAGAATGTCCAAATAGGACCCCAAAGGCAGATGTCAGATCGAGTCATGCAAAGGCCAGAAGGGACATGGTGCAGGATGCAGGGTAAACACGGCGTGCGATCGACGAACAGCATCCACGGAGCAACAGACACACCACCTCGCCGGGTGTTAACGTGTGGAGAAGGTACCAACCAGTTTTCAGGGAAAGACCGGCTTTATGCACTCGTCTTGGACAAAATAAAATAAATGCACTCTAGTTTTGTGGGTTTAAGCAAACGCCTCAGCCGTTACTGTGACTGAAACACCCACCTGATCCCTTAAGGATCAGAAACACACAAGGAGGTGACAATGAGCAGTGAGGGACCGTGGGGACGGAGGGAGGGTCAGGCCACTCGGGACACGAGCTTGGCAGACTCAGAAGGGGCTGCAGTTTCCAGAAAAAACACAACCGTGATGCAACCCCTCACATCCCCCAGGCCGGCCGCCCGCGTAACGTACCCACAGAGGCCTGCAGGACGTAGGTCTTCCCGGGGCTCAGTGAGAATGGCTTTATCGTCACGGTCTGTCCCGTGATACCTGCGGAGAAGAGGCCACGTGGAGGCCGTCACGGGTGGGCTCTGAAGGCAGGGGCGCGGGCAGACCCCCTGCACCTCCACAGGCAGAGGTGAGGCAGGCTCCTCCCTGCGGTGCCTCCAGATGCTTGACGCCCACCCTCTTTACGGAGCTGAGATCCACCGTCTGGGCTCCCCTGCCCGACAGCAGCACCCGAGTCGGGGTCCTGGGGGTGGGCCCGGGTCACACTGGGCTCCGAGGAAGAGCCAACGCTGGCGGGAGCTCACTCTGTACGGGTAGCAGTAGGTCCAGTCTCCAGCCGGGCTGGTTCCACTCTTAGTCTGTCCCGGGGGGGTGATTAAGGCAGGTCCAAGCAGGGGCGCCTGGGGGGCGCAGCCGGCTCTCCGGTCATTAGCTCTCAGTTTGTGTGATGGAGCCCCACGTGAGGCCCTGCCCTGACAGCACAGAGCTGCTGGAGAGTCTCTCTCCCCATCTCTGCCTGCCCCTCCCCTGCTCCGGCTCCCTCTCTCTCTCTCTCTCTCTCTCTCTCAAAATAGATAAATATTTACAAAAGGAGACATTTCAAAGGCAGTTTTACATCTTGTGGGGCCCTGCGAAGCGTTTCGGAACCTGGGGTGACTGCTGCCCCCTGGTGACCGGGTCCCTTCCCTGGCAGGCAGAGGCTGACCCTGAGGGCGGAGGGACCCAAAATGCAGGCCTTCTCATCAGGGAACCATGGTGGGGGGGCGGGAGCGGAGGCAGCCATGAGAGACAGTGGGGGCACAAGGCCCCAGGCGCCCCCGCGAGAGGCGCGAGCCAGCACCGAGAGGAGCCAGTGCGGCACGAGCAGGGCCACCGTGCCCACCTCGTGGGGTGATCGTCCTCCGCGTGGGGGTCGTGGACTCGGCCCGGCAGGCTCCTCCCCCGTCTGCAGACGGGGCTCCTGGGGGTACAGAGGCCAAGGCCGCCCGTATGCTGGGCGCCCACCTGGCGTCCCCAGACGGACGCACGCAAGGAGAAAAGGCGCCATGACGCCAGCTACTTCTCCACGGAAAGGAAACGTGGCAGAAGAAACCCTTGTGGACCGGCCGCAAGTTCCGTGTGCATAGACGCTGTCCGTACCGGAGGCGGTGTAGCCGTGGAAGAGCGTGCGGCCCACGGGGGACTTGGGCCAGTCAGCCGTGAGAGGGGGCCCGGCGGCGGCCGCGGGGGGCAAGGGGCCCAGCAGGTTGTCCCCGTCAGCGCTGGGACTCGGGCCCGATCCCGGGAGGCTGCTGTCGGTCCCTGGGAAGACACGCCACGCGCTAAAGGAGAGGCCGAGACGACGCCCCGCGGCGCGTCCCCGTGGATGACGGGGGTTCGTGCTGCGCGGCACATCCGGTCCCTCCCGCCTGCCGCACGTGCTCAGCGACACTCTGTGTGTGACGCCGAGTGGACTGGGGCCGGGCCGCTAGCCAGAGCGACGGGCCGCCTCCCGGAGCTCCCCGGGTGGGTCAGAGCACAGGACGCTGCCGGCCGGCCAGCTGAGTGCCGCGCACGCCGGCGGCGAGGAGACCGTGTGGGGCCCGAGGGAAGGGCTGTCTTAGAGCCCTGGACAGCGGTCCGGGAGGCCCAGGGGCCGGGGCACACGCATAACCCAGTAAACACTTCCGCAAGGTTGGAGGTGCGGCTGGAGGGGTGAGAAGGGGAAAGCAGGGAAATGAGGTGGGGGGGGCAGCGAGTGGCGGGAAGACACTGAGGCCTGGTGGGGGAGGAGGGCCTGCGCTGTGGCCCTAACGGGTCTCCCGCTGCGGCACTCGGTGAATGAGGGCAGGCGGCAGGGATGGAGGCAGAGACAGAAGGGCCCCCGCCTGGTCCAGGCCCGCAGCAGTTGGGACACAGCGGTGGGGCCGGTGGCGGGGGGGTTGGGGGGTGGGGGGGCGGGAGCACTGCCTGGCGACTGCGACGGAAGCGCTGAGAGAAGATACAGCGACACACGACCCTGGGGGTGGGCTCAGAACGGACTCACTGCCAGGAAGGGCAATTTTATGAATTCACTGTTTCTTCATCCAGTGTTATTTATTAGGCACCTACTGCTAGCAGTCAGGGAGCCTGTTAAACAACTGCTTAGAAAATGGGAGGGGGCGCAGAGAAGCTGACAGAAACCACAGACGGCGTAGAGGAGAAAGTCAAAGACAACAGAACAGATTCAAGGACATTTAAATCCTCCGGGACCGCCTGGCTGTCCTGCCCACAGACACGTCGTCCACAGACCGTCTGATGGTCCCGCCCACAGACACGTCGTCCACTGACTACCCGGCTGTCCCGTCCTGGCCACAGACACGTCGTCCACGGACCGCCTGGCTGCCCTGCCCAGAGACAATCGCCCGCTGACCACGTTCTCTCCGAGAACACGCTCCCTGCGTGCCGGGCCCTGGGATGGTGTGGCACACAGGTTTGCACCCGCCAGGGGAGCCTCCCTGACGAGCTAGAGCAGGACACGCAGGCGGGACAGCCGTGAGCCCCTGTGCACCTGCTTCGGGCGCGGCGAGGGGGGGGGTGGTACAAGGTAAGAAGGTGGGAAGGTGCGGAGGAAGGGGACGGAGGCGGCCAGGCGGGAGGAGGCGCGCCTAGACGACAAGTGGGGAAGGCCGGGAGGGGAGGTGTTTTCGGCAGACAACACCCTGGGGTCCGAGGTGTGGGAGGGGTCTGGGGCTTCCTGGGGGTTTCGGAAGCACAGGGAGCCCAAAGAGAAGTAGGTGAACTAGAAATAAGGATTTGGGCAGCTGGTGCCATGCAGGGGAACCTGGGCTTTTCCCTTCGTCTCCCGGAGCTCCCCACGGTCGCCATGCCGTGGGGCGGAGGAGCGGGTCTCGATTTCAGAGGTTAGAGCCGGGGGGACACGGGACCCGAGGAGCCCCAGAAAGGGGGACAGGCACAGACTCACAGGCAGCGGGCTGTCTCCCTCTGGACGGCCCCGCCTCTTGGATATCACCGTAAAAGTCTTCGAAATCTACGTGAGAGGAGAAAACTGTAACAGGTCATTTAACGCCACAGATCCCCCTGGAATTAACACCCACCCTCCCGACAGAGCACACGGGCTGCCCCAGTGTGTTTCTGGAGTCCACACCCGGTCCCGTGGGCGTCACCGCGTCACCACCACAGGGGAGGAGACAGTGGAGCCCAGGCTCGGCCCTGAATGTGAAGGGACCGTGGCACTTACCAGAGGGGGAAGGAGTCGGGCCCTGGGCGGGCGGACTCCCTGGGGAGCCCTGGTCCCAGGGAGTCACTCCTGGTGCCGCAGCATCACCCGTGGCGGGAACCCGGCTCTGGCCGATCGTGGGCCCCGAGGAAGGATTCCCCGCGGCTGAAAGGCTGGGCTGGCCCTGGGTCTGTGGCGATGGCTCCCGTGAGGACAGTGCTCCCGTCGTGTGGGGCTCTGGCCAGCTCGGCTCTGTGGATGGCGGGCTGCACGTCGGTGGCCTCGGAGCAGCCCCCAGTGCAGCGGAGCCCAGCAGCCCCACTGTCCTGCAGAAGGGAACTTGAACACACGTGTAACAGTATCAGAACCTCAGAGCAGAAAAGCTACGTGGTTCAAGGTCTAGGGATTGCATCACATGCTGTTAACAGACCTGCCACGAATCTAAAAAGGACACGTATGGGAAAACTCGTGCAGCTCGGTTTTCACAGGGCGGCCGGCAATCCACCCCCGGGAAGCAGGCCACTGGCTGGTCCACGTGTCCCCCTGGGGCCGCACCTGGCACGGGGCTTCCAGCGTGTTTGAGACAACGCGGGCACAGGGACTCGCTCCCGACCCTCGCCCACCTGTCAGTCTCGGCTCACGGCTCTAGCAAGCACTGGGGTAATTTACGAGAAAGGATGAACAGCAATCAAAGAAACATTTCTGAGGACGTAAAAGACCATGCGTCCCCGTGGCCGGCTTTCACTCGCTGCCGTGACACAGCGAGATGCAGTGACCACAAAGATGAGGACAGTCCCTGGCTTTGCTGCAAGATGAACCTCCCAGGTCTGTGCCCCACGTTCCTCTGGTACGTTCCCCACAGGCTTTGCCTCGGAAACGCTTAGCTACTGCGGGGGTGTGAAGGGGCGCCCACGGCCCGTGTCTCCGTGTCCCCCCAGCTGTGAGGGCAGCACAGAAAGAAGTGTGAGTCTGTGAGGGCTTGTCATGAGCTTCTGTCCGGGAGCAGCGCACGCAGCTCGGAAAGAAAAACCTTTCTGTCTGCCATTCGCTGCCACCTCTCTGATCACGTACACCACCGGTGGGAACCCGTGGCCCTCCTGGCTCAAACCCAGCGGCCACGGCACCTGCAGGGCACCTCTCACCCTGAGCCGGCCTTTCTTTCTCCCGGCATCCCACGTACCATTGCCGCCACCCTGGTAGCGCCCGGACCCACCTTTCCCACCCAAGAGAGCTGGGCCAGCGGGCTGTGAGGCCCCGCGTCCCGCCCCGGGCCAGCGGGCTGTGAGGCCCCGCGTCCCGCCCCGGGCCAGCGGGCTGTGAGGCCCCGCGTCCCGCCCCGGGCCAGCGGGCTGTGATCCCCGCGTCCCGCCCCGGG